GTTAAAGCTTCCAAGTGAACATCTGACGTTAGCTGACTTCTTCTGGCAGTGCCACATTCCCCACAGTATTAAAACGTTATGTTCCAAGAGGGTATATTCTTTTAGATTTTACTCAGCCCAGTTTGGTCTGAGGACTGAACCACACTGAAACCATTAACTTCATTTGAAATTCGGGTTCCAGAGCCAAAAACATGTTCGAAATCAGATGAAGGCCGAGTTCTCCAGCCACTCTTAGGAACATAAACTAAATCGAACAAGGGACTTTTAAAAATGAAACAAAAACAAGATAAAAATGAAATAGATCACGATTTTGGAAATTCATACTAGAATTAAGTTTGGTCTAATTATATTTTAATATGAAACAATGAAGGTTTTCTGCCTCCTTGCTAACCTGGAAAAGTTGACAAGAATCATAATACCTAAAATATACACGGTTCTTAGCATAACCACAGAATTATTGTAGTGACAGATTAAATAAGGGTGCAGATAGATCCATAGACTTTAATTGGCTAACAAAATACATTTGAAACCCTTTTCTGTACTTACCTACATGAGGAATGCAGTATACTGTTGGTAGCAAAAGTCATTTACCTAACTACTATATATGCACAATGACTACTTTTACTTTGTTCTCCACTAAAACTCTAATATGTAGTTGTGTAAAAACTAAGTCAGAAAATCTCCCTATGGCTCACACCTGTCACTTGATGCCAACTACCAGGGCTGGAGTATTAACATACCTGGAATCAAGCCAGTGCTGCCCCCATGAAAAGGAGGTGCAAAATCGTAAGTGGAATACGTGAATGAAATAAATTTATTTAAAGACCAATGTCCCAACTTGGGAGACTCCTAATAAAGTCTAAACTCTTCTGAATTTTAGAACCTTGGTATTTCTTTACACCTTTTATAGAAGATCCTCTTGACTAAGGCTAAGCAAGCAGCGTGTATACAAACAGAATCGTGTGCAAGTATATACACACCAAATTCACTACTAATGAAGAGAGAGAGAAAATGAATTTCAAATGCCGAATTTGGGAACCTCTTTGAACTACTGCCTTTTTCAAATGGCTGGAACAATGATTAAACTTCAGCCCAGTTTTTTTCTTATGGTCTTCCATACTGTTAAAAACAAGGCATGCCAACTCTGACTTTATAAATCTAAAAAATTCAGTGATCTGCACAATTTCTATAGTATCAGAGCCTGACATATTGAATTGTGACTCATCTGTTTTTTTCCTGTTTTTCGTCTGAGGTAGTGTTACCAATCCAATTTTATCAGTACCACAGATACTTTGAGCTAAACCCCTATCTTTTCACAGAGTAAAAATAATATTTGTGAAAAAAGAAAACAGGCTTCCCAGGCCATGGCACATAGATATATTTACAATTTTTAATGTAATAATTAGAAATGGTTTTGGGTTTATATCTTAAAAAAACAGCCCAGCTGTATTATTTTGTCACCAAGAATTATCATCTGAGGATGCTGTCAGTGCTGAGTGTTACAGGTCAGCCTTCACAGTCCCATCCATGATGAAGTTAATCCTTGCATGGCATATGATATACTCACAACTTTCAGCCTTCTCTTAGACATGCCCCAAATGAGCAGGATGGATGTAAAAAATGTAATTCATTCAAACAGCTCCTCCCTGTTCTGCCCCTCCCTTCACATTCCCCTCTTCTCAAAAGCATCTGAAGTATGAAAGTTGTCTTTAAATAGTAAAGCACCACAATCTATTAACACCACATATTATCTTTGAACTGATGTATTTTAGTGATGTCTTGGACATCAAAATAATTTCTTAAGGTGGACTTTGAGTATGTGGGTCCAGCCCAGGTCTGCAGTTTGTGCAGACGTAGAAAAAAGAGGAACTTTAAATATTCAGAAAAAGTTAACAGGCTAACTGTAAAATACTGCTGGAAATTAAATTTCTTCAGAGTTGGAAAGCATGGGCTATTGATCGAAATATGAATTAAACAGATTTACATCATTAAGAAAAAAAAGTCCATGTCATGTGCCGTGAAATTTCCATGATGCCTTTCAAATAGGCTGGTCACAATTTTTTTATACTTCCAAATCACTTGATTTTTGATGGAAAAAAGAATACAGATGGACTGTGTTTTACCTATGTGAAAATCACCAATCCATTTAAAATAAAATCCAAGAGGGCATATACAGTCTAATCAAGTCATCATTTTCCTGATTAGTAAGAACTACACTTTATACAAAATACTTTATCAGCAGCTGTTTTCATCAAAAAATCAATAGTTTCACAGTTGAAAAAGTTACACATTAAAATATTTTACAATTCATTATATTTTCACCAGGTTCCCACTTTCTAATGGGCTTTTAATATAAAGCAGAAAAGAAGGGAAAATCTCAAAGTTGATTACTTTGACACTAAGTTTTACGTAGGACACTAAGAACCACCAAAAAGCTTAGGTTCTATCGTAAAATAGCAACCAAATTCCATTCTTCTTTTAAAAATCCAATTAGAAACATTTAAAAAAAAAAAGAAACAAATTCCACAATAAGATGAACAGATTTCAAATTAACAGTAGTCTAAAAATATTCAAAATAAATGGTTTTGTATAGCTGAGAATATGGTAGAAAGTGAAAGCATAATTTTTGAACAGTCATTTCTTACTACAATGTGTTTAAAATTATTTTTATTATTTTCTTTAGACTTTTTCTCAAAATAATTATTGAAGGAAATATTTCTTAAGTGGGCCAATGAAACTGTAGAGCCAACAGTCAATTACATCATATCCAAGGACAAGGATAGTCAGCTGTAGATAGGACCTGACCTCTGGTACCAAGTACCTGGAAGTGGCTATATAATCTCTGACTTGAAACAGATCTTAGTCACCCATGTAGCATTTAATTCAGTGTTTGGTTCTTTGCCTCTGTGTCCCTTATTTCTTTCTTAGTTAGGTCACAATCTATAGTCTTTATAGAATTTGTCTACACTTCTTCAAATAGAATTTGGTTGTAATAAGTAATGAAAATATATGTAAATGATGAACTAGGCCATGTGGTTTGTGTGTTTTGATGGTGGCGAGGTCCTGGGAGGAAGACGGGAAACAACTATTTGCACTGATGTTATAAAAATGCAAAAATGGTACATTTTGTGCAAGGAGGCTCAAGGCATTTTTGGCACTCGGGTAAAACACAGTTCTCTGTTAAATCTTAAGTTTCTACCATCAGAGTTTCAGATTTGTACCATTTTACTGAGTTTTCCTGTAATTTATCCCTGATATTGAAAAGACTGGGATGTTAGTATGTATCTACTGCCTATGTCTAAACAACACAAAATGTTAGTAAGTTTTAATAAGTTATGAAATCTTCTATAACTGCAAAATCTTTCTGGTTTCCTGCTGAAAACAGAGTTTAAATTCTGTTTATTCCAAGACAGTTGGCAGCAATAAGTTCCCTTAATCTTCGAATTTATTTTTCTTGTTGGCAATATTATACACATGCTTTAGTGAAGTACCTAAATTTCCAATAATTATGCCCTTTAAGGGAATCTAAGATAACCAGATACTAAGAGTATTTGTATTAGAGTCCCTTGTTCACTACTCAAGACTTCAGCTATAGGTAACAATTTCATAAACGAATATGTTTAAATTGATGCTGTTTTTACTAGAGTATACAATGTTCACTCTTGATAAAGTTGTTTTCCAATAATATGCCTAATCTAAAAAACTGTCAATAATGATTGCACTTTTTTATGTGGCACCTGGACGTCTGCTAAAGCTAATTTCCTAGGACATTAATCATTCATTTCAAATACAGAGTAAAATATGAGATTCTAGAATGATGATGACTAGCAGTAGCCTCTACACCTTGGGTTAATGTTTTTCAAGATGTTTAATAATGTGTCCTGCGCTCAAATAGTATTTAATGAAGTTGGAGAGTGAGCCCTGACTACTTGGGAATGGAACATGATCTTAAAATGGGTTAATGTCCTACTTTGGAGATATGGGTAAGTAGTTTAAAAAGGTAAAAAGTTCGTGGTTTCTATCTCCCATATTTTAAAGTATTATTCATGAGTATACCTCAGTAGAGGGGCTTAAGGAATCAGGAAGATAGTATAAATTGTGTTAATTTCATATGATTGAGACATTCTCAACTATAAAAGGGAATGGAAGATGGGGGCTTCACGTGAAGAAATAGAAGGAAAGAGGATTAAGTTTTATGTCTTCCTTAAGCAGTTATACACTGGTTATGGGTATAAACGGAATAGTGCCTGAGCCTCATCTACAGACCAAGAGGAAAGCTGACTGTGCTGCTACAAACAATGAAAAATCTGGGTGCAAAACAAGGCATGACCATGGGCCAGATCATGGAAATGAAGAATATATATTAATGATAGTTTCTATAATATAAATAGCCTTTAATAAAAAAAATAATCTTTTAAATAACATTAATAATACTTCTATTTTCTGGAAAACATGCATGAAAAATGTATTCAGTTCAGTTGCAAAAGGAGAAAAAAATCAACTTAAGGTGAATACTGTACAATTCTGGAAAAAGAACTATTCCTGCTCATTCTTTTTCTATTGTGATTTCTTTTTTAATTTTGTGGGAGCCCAGAATTTCCCTGGGAAAGAAGATCCTTTAAATACTGACCAGAAAAAACAAAAACAAAAACAAACCCAAAAATACCATCTTATAACAGGTCTCATTTGTGACTGCTTCCAAAACTGCAGTAAGACCTCAAATCACCAAAAGGTTTGATTTATTAAAAAGAAAAAGTCTCTGGTGTAATCTCAAGAGTCCCTTCCACCCCAAGCATTTTTCTTCATTAAACAAGGAGTCAAAAACCCACTTCAAACTATAAATTGAACAGCAATGAAAAAATAAGAAATTTTCATTCTTTCCCAATCTTATATAATTTAACATAAACTCCAGTTTACTTAGACGTAATGCAATAACAGCCTTTGTTATGTCCACATTTCAAAACATAGAACATTTGCAAGACAAAAAAAAAAAATCATTCTTTTTCCTTCTCCATCATTTCTATATATTTTGGGGATTTTTGTTTTGTTTTGTTTTTTAAAAAAAGATACAAACAATCTTCAAAGTTTACCTTTTTGGACTTAAGGCATAACATGAAATTGCGCATTATTCTAAAGCTTAATTTTGAAATGAACTAGTTTAAGTGCTATCAAACCCTGTTTGCATTTACATTATTTAAATTATATAGTATTTTATTTCTGTTCTTGTTGTAAATTCTAATGCTGTTCATAGATTGTGCAATTCCTATGCAATCAGTCTTTGCCTGCTGACAGTTATCAACAGTGCAGTGTAGAGTCCAGAGAGTGAGCTTTCAGTTTCTCGGTCTTTTCAGTTCAGTGCATGCTGCTTAATTGTGTGGAAGATCCAATCCATTTTTGTTGTCCAGCCACCATGATGTGCGTCATTCATTTGTTTCATGAAATATTCCAAAGCCTCTTGCTCAGTTTTATCTAAGGCTAGGGTCTTTCGAATGTATGCAATGTCATCAAAAGATTGTAGTTCTGGCATTCCAGAGCCAAGCATCATTGAGAAAAGATTTATGAAGAGATTGGCATGCTGTCGAATAGCTAGATAAGCCTTGTAACACATCTCCTGAAACCTATGAGTAATAAGAACAGTTTGGTCAGTATGGAGCATATGAGGTTAATACCTTCAGGTCTTTGCTCAAATGTCACACAATCAGAGAGGCTTTCGTAGACAAAGCTATAAAAAACAGCATTCCTCTCTCATTTCTCTTGCCAACATCTTTTGATTCCCTTTACCCCACTAGAGTGTAAACTCCATGAGAATAAGGACTTTTTAAAAACTGCTTTATTATCAGCACCTACAACAATGCCTGGTACATCAGGAGTTAAAAAGTATAAAATGTACAAATTGGTTCATACTAAATAGTGCTTAGGCTAGAGTCAGGACTGAGTTACAGACAAAGCAGAATTTTATAGGTTTTAAAAAGTACTTTAAAGTCTGATATAGTCTAAAAATATACCATAAGGTGGTAAAAAATTTAGGTATTAACAAGGCGATTATAGTTGACTGACTTTCCTCAAATTGTATGAATAAAAAATGTATTAAGCACTATACATTATTTGTCAATACAGAGGTGGAGTCCGACTATTTAAACCTCAGTAAATAAAAACATTTAATGTATTATGAAGTTTAAGGGTTATTTTTAGGCCTTAATTGGCTCAACAAATTAAATTGTATTCCTTTTCCATTTCCTTCACAGCATCACACAAATAAATACAAAAATAAAAATAAAAATAAAAACATTGAAATAGTTTTTCACTCAACAAACTAGGCATAGAAGGGACTTACCTCAAAATAAAAGTTACATATGACAAACCCACGGCCAATATCATACTGAATAGGAAAAGCTGAAAGCACTCCCCCTGAAGTATACTTTCACCATTTCTACTCAGTATAGTACTGGAAATCCTAGCCAGAGCAATCAGGCAACAGAAAGAAATACAGGGCATCCAAATTGGAAAAGAGGAAGTCAAACTATCGCTGTTTACCATTATATAATTATATACCTAGAAAACCTCAGAGTTCTCCAAAAGACTGCTAGATTTAGGCTGGGCGCAGTGGCTCACACCTGTAATCCCAGCACTTTGGGAGGCTGAGGTGGGCAGATCGCCTGAGGTCAGGAGTTCAAGACCAGCCTGGCCAACATAGTGAAACCCCATTTCTACTAAAAAAATATACAAAAATTAGCTGGGTGTGGTGGTGCACGCCTGTAGTCCCAGCTACTTGGGAAGCTAAGGCAGGAGAATCGCTTGAACCCCAGAGGTGAAGGTTGCAGTAAGCCGAGATTGCACCGCTGCACTCTAGCTTGGGTGACAGAGCAAGACTCTGTCTCTCAAAAAGAAAAAAAAAAAAAAGACTCCTAGATTTGATAAATGAATTCAGTAAAGTCGCAGGTAACAAAATTAAGGAACACAAATCAGTAGCACTGCTATATACCAACAATGACCAAGCTGAGAATCAAATGAAGAATACAAGCCCTTTTACCTACAAAAACAAACAAACAAAACCAAAAAAAAACCACAAACAAACCCAGAAATAAACAAGGGGGTGAAAAATCTATTCAAGGAGAACTACAAAACACTGCCAACACCATTTTTCACAGAGTTAGAAAAAACAATCCTGAAGTTAATGTAAAACCCAACAAAAAGAGCCTGAATAGCCAAAGCAAAACTAAGCAAAAAGAACAAATCTGGAGGCATCACATTGCTGGACTTCAAATTATACTAAAAAAGTATAGTTACTAAAACAGCATGGCACTCATATAAGTAGACATATAGACCAATGAAACAGAATGGAGAACCCAGAAATAAAGCAAAAAATTTACAACCAGCTGATCTCAGACATACAAAAACATAAATTGGAAGGACACCCTGTTTAATAAATGGTGCTAGGAAAACTGGCTAGCCAAATGTAAAAGAATGAAACTGGATCCCTGTCTCTCACCTTATACAAAAATCAACTCAAGATGGATTAAAGACTTAACTCTAAGACCGAAGCCATTAAAATTCTAGAAGATAGCCTAGGAAAAATTCTTTTGGACATTGGTCTAGGAAAATAATTAATGACTAAGACCCCAAAAGCAAATTCGACAAAAACAAATGAAATAAATGAGACCTAATTAGACTAAAAAGCCTCTGTATAACAAAAGAAATAATCATCAAAGTAAACAGACAACCAATGGAATGGGAAAAAACATTTGCAAACTATGCATCCAACAAAGGACTAATATCCAGAATCTACAAGGAATTCAAATGAGCAAGAAACATATAATCCCATCAAAAAGTGGGCTAAGGCCAGGTGCAGTGGCTCAAGCCTGTAATCCCAGCACTTTGGGATGCTGAGGCGGGTGGATCACCTGAGGTCAGGAATTCAAGACCAGCCTGACCAACACAGTAAAACCCTGTCTCTACTAAAAATACAATAATCAACCGTGCATGGTGGCGTGTGCCTGTAGTCTCAGCTACTTGGGTGGCTAAGGCAGGAGAATCAGTTGAACCCAGGAGGCGGAGGTTGCAGTGGGCCAAGATTGCCTCATTGCACTCCAGCCTGGGTGACAGTGAGACTGTCTCAAAAAAAAAAAAAAAAAAAAGTGGGCTAAGGACATAAATAGTTCTCAAAAGAAGATAAACAAATGGTCAACAAACATGAAAAAAAATCATTAATCATCAGGGAGATACAAATTAAACCCACAATGAGATACCACCTTACTCCTGCAAGAATGGCTGTAATTAAAAAGTCAAAAACCAACAGATGTTGGCATGGATAGGGTGAAAAGGGAACGCTTATACACTGCTGGTGGGAATGTAAATTAGTACAACTGCTATGGAAAACAGTATGGAAATTTCTTAAACGTCGTAAGCAGATCTACCATTTGGTCCAGGAATCCCACTACCCAGAAAAAAAGAAGTCATTATATCAAAAAGGCATCTACATGCGTGCAGCACAATTCACAGCTGCAAAGATATGAAACCAACCTAAGTGCCCGCTGACCAATGAGTGGATAAAGAAAATGCACATATACACCACGGAATACTACTCCACCACAGCAAAGAATGAAACGATGTCTTCTATGGCAACTGGGATGGAACTGGAGGCCAAAAATGGAAAACCAAATACAGTATGTTCTCACTTGTAAGTGAGAGCTAAGCTCTAGGTACACAAAGGCGTACGGAGTGATATAATGGACTATGGAGACTCAGAAGGGAGAGGGTGGGAGGAAGAATGAGGGAGAAAAAGTACATTTTGGGGACAATGTACACTAGTTGGGTTACAGGTATGCTTGAAATCTCAGACTTGACCACTATTGAATTCATCCATATAACCAAAAACCACTTGTACCCCAAAAGCTATTGAAATAAAAACAAACAAAAAATAGTTTTTGCTAAAGGTGTAAAAGAACATCTATTATTTTATTTTATTTATTTTGATACAGGGTCTCACTTTGTTGCCCAGGTTGGAGTACAGGGTTGTGATCACGGCTCACTCACCGCAGCCTCAACCTCCTGGGCTCAGGTGATCCTCCCACCTCAGTCTCCTGTGTAGCTGGGACTACAGTGCATGCCCCATGCCCGGCTAACTTTTTAATTTTTTGTAGACATGAGTTCTTACTATGTTACCCAGCCTGGTGTTCTTACTAAGGAGTTGGGATTACAGGCGTGGGCCACCACACCCAGCCAACATTTATTATTTTGAAACAGCTTGAAAAATATTGATTGTTTCTAATAGAGCAGTCAGAATTCTTTATTTTGTGCTTTTAATTTCTTGAGCTCACCTCTCAAATTCTCTTGTCTTTGTGCATTCCTGGGCTCCTTTACTAATCACTATTAAGAAATCCTGTGTCAAAACAAATGGCACACGTTCTCGTTTATAACCAAATTTTTTCTTCTTGTGATCCAAAAAGTGTCCAAAATCTATATGAAACAGCTTTCAAAAATAAGAAATTATGTTATAGTTTGACATATGCAGATACAAAACATCTTGAATTAATACACCAAAACATTTTAAAGAGGGAAAACCATTACTTGTCCATCATCTTTCACCATGATGTTACTATTGTGACGATCTCCAATCCCCAGAATGAAGGTAGCTACACAATATCCAGCACAAGAACGCGTAAACAGGTCAATGGCTGCATCGTATCTACAAAGAAGAAATCAACGCCTCATGAGTAGTAAGGAAATACAGAGGGATTCAGGCTAACTTGGGAAAAGAGGGTGCACATGTCTGTTGAAACAATGAAGACAAGCACTGACATTAGGGAACAAAGTCATTATGTTCTAAGATTTTGAGACTGTAAAGTTTTCATGGGTTTCTAAGGAAATTTCCAGATGTTCACTGACCAAAGAATAATTCTTGTCATAGTGAAAAAATACCATGTCATTAAAATTATTTTCCAATCATTTTAACAATGAATTAGAAATAAAATTTTGAATATGCAATGTTAATTTGTTTTAAAAAGAATGAGCAATAAAATACATTTTACATACTAATACAGAAAATGAATGTATAGGATTTTACCAAATTAAAAGTAATTATAACTGTTTAAATCCATTAACCTCAAATATTTCAAAGGTTGAGCATATTTTTTTTCCAAAGAAAGTACAATTGTTTTCTCTGGTCTAACTCAGAGGAATACGCAAACACTGACAGACTCATCTAACAAAAACTTAGATTGACATAGGAAGAAAGAATAACACTCACATTTCTCCTTTGTTCTTGTCTTTGAGCCACTGGTGCAGTGTGTGGCTGTTGAACTGCAGTGCACCTTTCAAGCCACCTTTGCACTGAATTTGCATAATAGTGTGAGAATTTCGCACCACCTCAATAAGCCCCACACAGTCACCGATGGACAGACAACCGTAAGGTAGCATTCTGAAAGAGGAGGAACACATTTACAATTAAATGATGGAATTTTAAAACAGCAAATATTTTAATAGCCTAAAACGTGAGTATTTTATTTGCAAATCTGTCATGTAAGACCTTTACTGCCTTTACCGAATTTTCTTTTTATGGTGTAATAAACACACTTCTGGAATAATCATCAAAGTTACCGGTCATCATTTATTATAACCTTCAACTGAGAAAGCACTGAATTTTTATCAGAAAAGCATTAAGAAAATTATTATGACAATGAAAATTTTACAAACATTTATGGCTTTAAAAATACAGGGGAATTTAAAGATGTTTAATTAACATGGAAATAAAACTGTAGGGCAGGAGTTCTCAGATTTGTTGTCTCAGGACTCCTTTACACTCATAGAAATTATTGAGGATCCCAAAGAGCTTTCAGTTATGTGAATTACATCTACTGATGTTAGAAATTGAAACAGGAAAAATAAAATTTTAAATATTTACTAATTCATTTAAATGCAAAAAATCATGACAAGTTAGTATAAATAACATGAATCGAAAAATGCATTTAAAAAATTTAGTAAGAAGAATGACATTCTTTCACATTTAGAAAAATTTTTTAATGTCTGGCTTCATAATACCCAGCTGGATTCTCATATATGCTTTTGTATGCAAGCTAATGCAATGTTTCAATTAAAGTATATAAAGAAAATCTAGCCTCAGAAAGATAGGTAGGTAGAAAAAGAAGGAGTATTATAATAGACTTTTCAGATAATTGTGATATTTTTCTTTGATAGTATTCCAAAACTTGACACGATATAGTTTCTCAAGTTGCAAAATGGAATCTGAAACCGTATCAATAAACTTTTCATACTGTTACATTAAAATCAATTTGTCTTCCTGGTCTTTGAACGTATCTTTTGCACATTCTGATTTTACAGTATCCTGCAGGGCCGTTTGCAGATGTTCCCAATGTTGACACTTTTCATCATACCATACTAAAAAAACCGCAATTGTTAATATTACCAAAAATCTCATCAGAAAGCTGTTAAGTTTAGGGACTCTGTTAGGTTCAGTGGCCGATACTAAAAATTAGAATTTTCAAAATTCTAATTTTGAATTCCAAATGAAATTTTTGTTGCAAGCTTGAATTTTATCATTGGCAACAAATACTATCACAGTTGTTTTCTTCAAAGAGACAGGCACATATTGTTCATTTTCAAGAAAATGTCTGCCAAATACCCATGTCTTGCAACCATAGCTTGGCTATTAGTTATTTTTAAAGTAAAAATCATGTTCCATCAAACAGCCGCTAGTTCAGCTCACAACTCAGTTAATCCCGCAAATGTTTTCCTTTGATACAATCATAATACCTGGGGATGCAAATTCTCTGAGGTGCCTTCCATTTATTCACGTGGAGAATTAAACAGGACATATGGTCAAGGGTGCAAAGATGTGAGGGTTTAAAGAGACAATGAAGAAAGCACCTAACATCCAGACTGACATGCAGGTACTCAAAGTTTGGTTTTCCTTGCTCTGTTCTCATAAGCTCTCCCCATTCTTTTCACTTTTCCTTTACTTCTTCAACTCCTAAAACAGTCCACACTTACTTTCATGTACTTCCTGAATTCCGTGTAGCCTAGCTTCTATGCCTACCACTCTAGGGAGTAAACTTAATCATGAGTCACTAAATCCAAGTGCTTTTTCATAGACCTTATTCTTTTAAACCCCCTGAAGCCCTTGGCCCTACAAATTGTTGGTGAATCACTTCTTCTAGTACCCCTACTTATTTTGACCATTTCTCTTACAGAAGCTTTTCTTCTACCTGGTAAATACAGAAATTTCTTAAGGTTGCATTCGTGCTCATTCTCTCTTTTATGTTTTTAGTGAACATGCTCATAAAGAATTCAATTGTCTTCTAAGTCTTGCTATTAAAAAAACAAGCAGGGTTAAAATAAACCCGAGTCTGAATTATAGTTTTGCCAAGTATAAATAAAAATGCTGCTATGATTTTACTTAAATAATTTTAATCTAAAGTTAAACTTGAAATAAAAATTTTTACTTGTATTTAAGTTAAAAAAATTCAGAAAATATCATAAGACTAAAAAACCCTTAATATTTCTAATCATCTTACTTAACTTTGGATACTTTTTTGCCAAGTCACTAATTTACAATTAAACAAGGTAATTACCAGGGTTACATAGTTACAACCTTTACTCTTCCTTAGCTCTACAATCTTTTTCACAGTCTATTCCTTTGGGGGACGTGGCACCGGGCTCTCTCACGACACAGGAAATTACACCAAAAAAGGCAATTTGATTTATACAACATTAACCATCTTTGGAAAGCAGCAGGGCTAAGCAACATATCAGGAGTTATGGATTTGAAGTTGATGACAATTTTGTGCCTTAGCAGGTCACTTAAAATGTCCACTTTCTTCTTTGCATACAAGGGTACTACTATTTGTCACTGATACATTTTTTTGTATACTAGCTACTCTTAAAATGTGTAAGAGGCATACAAATAAGCCCTTGTCTGCTGTTACCTGCAATTCCTACTAAATGTACCCTGTTGTCATGGCTGGACTTGACGCTTAATATCCTCTAGAGGACAAAGTACTTTCAGAGAGGGTGGGCTTTGCCTGAATGACTATGGATTTGCAAAAAGACAAGCTGGATAAGGAAGAACATTTTAGAAGCAACAATGACTAGGAGAAGATGAAGCATGACAGAAAACTGGGTGATAATACTGATATTGTGGAAAGTTTTATAGAAACCAACAGACTGGTAAAAACTCTAAGCTTAGTTGGTTGCATAATTTTACTGCAAAACTGATTCCAATATTTGAGGATTTATACAGTTTTAGAATTAGAAAATTTCCATGATAAAATTGTTCAGAAGTTGTGTTTTCTTTTAAACAAAACTTCTGAATGAAGACAGGGGTCTTGTGTGTTTCCTTTGTCTTGCTCCTAATGGGACACTCCAGAGGCAGCTGCAGAGTATTTATTAGCTTCTGAGCTCTTTTTACTTAGCTGAGTATAATTAGCTATTCTAAGTCAAGTAAGAGGAGGATACATCAAAGTACTATAGTGTAATCCTATGGATAACTACTATGGCATGCATTTCTTTTTAGATATATGCCTCTATATGCTTCTATAATTATTAATAGTTCACTTTTTCAGGATAACTTTCAACATACAGGTTTCCTTACTGGTTTACCTACCGAAGATCAAGACCTTGATTTTGCCAGATATTTTCCATAATACGAATAATTTGAAGTGTTAGCATATCTTGCCGTAAATCTGAAATTCAAATAATATGTATCACCATTTAATGCCACAAATGCAAATTTGGGGATCACGCCATCACATGGTTTTCAAATGAAAGACAAATAAATATAGCTATATGTACTCTTCAGAAGAAACTATAGGAAAGCAATATTCTAATTTCTTTTTAAAAAATTTATAAATGAGTGCATAGCTTCACTCAAAGCCTTTATATAGCTTAAAGTAATTTATGTATAATTTTTAAGATGGGGTCTTGCTATGTTGCCCAGGCTGGTCTCAAACTCCTGGGCTCAAGTAATCCTGTAGAGCAGCTGGGATCACAAGCATGCACCACTACAAACGGCTCTTAATATTCTGATTCTTAAATCCATCTCTAAAGTCTTTGTGTAAACATATTTGAATAACAACGTAGAGTAAGTGAGCATGCATCTCACAAAACCTTTAATTAAAACGTTTATAGTAATTATTTTTCTGAATCCTTAAACATGTCTATATTAAATACCGGGATCAACAGAATTCACTGCTGAAATGTCATTTCCTATTGAAAACCCATCCATGACCCTCCTTCACTGCTCCCATAGCCTTTTCCTCCAAGTATGTACCTTCTTTTATATGGTTCCTTAGCAGACTACCCTTCTTCTTTGTACCATGCTTGCAATTTTATTTTTGTAATTATTTTTTTAAGGTCCCTCTTTTCTCTGTTAAGCTGTAAGCTCCAAGAAGGCAGGGGTTCTGTTTTGTTCACTGCTAAAATCCCAGGGCCTACCACATAGAATATTTATGGAATGAATGGATACTCACACAGCTAAGCAAATGATAATTAGAAACTGATTAAAAAAAAAAAACAAAACAAAACAAGAACACTTCTCTACACAGGTCCACGGGAGGTGGTTGGAGGCAGGGAACAGGAAAAAGAAAAAACAAAAAACTGATTTCAGGACTTCTGATCTAAACTTAGTACTTCTTTTCTTCTCATTGAGTGTACATGCATATTGCAAAGGTTAAGACATCTGATTAATATTACGTATTTTATCATGTGTGTATTCCTTAAATGGCTTTCAATAGTTTTCATGGTTCATAAATATCCTGTGTATAAAAACAGCTGAATTCATGCATCACAAGCTCATTAATACTCTTCCTTACCATCCCCATTTTTAAAGATGATCTCATTGTTCTGAAACAGTAACTCTGACATGATGTCTGGATTCTCCCAATTCAGCCACAGTGGCCTTTTTGCAGAGGACATAATTCGACACTCTTCAAGCCTTTAAAATAGTTAAAAACTTTACTAGGCACCTTTGCTTTATTATTATTTTACCCTCACATTTATTTTAAAATAGAGACACAATATAGCTTTTTGAAGTGGTACAAAGATTTAAAACTTTCTCAATTTTTATTTAGGCATTCATTTCTAAGGAGTATAAAAAATAAATACTAAAAGTTTTAAAAGTTATTATATGATTACATATGAATTTCCAACAAATAGATAGAGATATATCATTAGTTTTAAAGATACTACATTTTCATTTCTTATCCTATGATACCAAACATTCTGGCCACAGAAGGTTTTAAACTCTCTTATTTAAGTAGTAAAAACTCATTCTAAATAAAGGCAGTACTGAACTTGAGACAATTGACTACTCTTATTTTGAGGGTAGGAGAATGAGAGAGAGAAGCATAGAAAACTGAACATTCTAATTATAACAGACATTTTGACTTCTCTCAAGATTTTATCCAGAAAAGGTATTTATTTAAATGTATCAATGAACCCCCCCAGGAAGTACCTGAGATTTCCCAGTTGATGAGCAGGGTTTAGAGGAGATAGAAAACCCTGTAGAGCATCCATGAAATCTGGTCGCCTCATTTGCTCAACTAAAAACTTCATCTGTACCTGATTTTTTAAAAAAGCATATAGTAACAGTAAGAAACTGATTTCATAGAAGGTAAAACTGACTGCTAATTTCTCTTACACATGAGAACCCCATGCTGTACAGTCCTGAATCTACACCCTAGACCCCTGCCTTCTAATAAGGAGGGTTCCTACAACACGGAGCAGCAGCACTCAGGGACAGAGCAAGGCGGCAGCACGGTGCACCTTCCTGTACGAAGATGAAATCGGCCTGGGATAGTGGCAGGGCTTTTGGCAGTACAGCAGGGCTAGTCAACTGTGGCCTGCAGCTCAGCTGCCAATTTTTAAACTCAAGCTGTATTAGAATATAGCTACACCCATTCATTACATATTGGCTGCTTTTACACAATAGCAGAGTTGAATACTTAAGACAGAGACGACAAAGGCCTGCAAAGTCTAAAACAGTTACTATCCGGCCCTTTAAGAAAATTTGCTGATCTGTGTTCTAGAGGAAAAAATGAAGGAGATCATGTTATTTTTGCTTAATCATCTTACTTTTAGACTTTGAAGAAAACACATTCATACTCTTTTTGTTGGGTAGAAGTGGTCTAGAGAGGCTAAAATAAATGGTTGGGAAAGGAACTTGTAAAAACATTTGTTACCTGGAGTCTTGTGCTATACTCAGGTTTTAGTAAGTGGCTACAAAGCAATATCCTTTTTCATTCAATTCAAACCAGAGCCCAGACTGCTGAGCTATCACACAATAGTTGGCATTTTATTTTAGGAAACCTACACCTATTGAAAATGTAAAATGTGGTAGGGGTGGAAAAGCGGTTAGGAGCTAGGAATTCATAATAAATTAATTTTCATGCTGGAATTTAAATAATAAAGTTTTTTTTCTTCTTGTTATGTATAAATGAATGGTTAGAAAACTAGTAATCACTATCTAGATAGCTCTTGTTCATGTAAAGGCTTTTTTTTGAGACAGAGTTTCGCTCTTGTTGCCCAGGCTGGAGTGCAGTGGTGCAATCTCGGTTCACTGCAACCTCCACCTCCCAGGTTCAAGTGATTCTCCTGCTTCAGCCTCTCTAGGAGCTGGGATTACAGGCATGTGCTACCACGCCTGGCTAATTTTGTGTTTTTAGTAGAGATGGGGTTTCTCCATGTTGGGCAGGCTGGTCTTGAACTCCCAGCCTCAGGTGATCTGCCTGCCTTGGCCTCCCACAGTGCTGGGATTACAGGCGTGAGCCACTGTGCCCGGCCAAAGACATCTCTTTTTCTATAACTGGCAGCTCTAATGTTAGCACAGTGCTTCATGTATTTTATCACTCACTGTTAACGACCAAACACAAAACCACTCAAAGGAACTGCTCATGTTTCTCTGACTGTAATTCTAGTTCCCTATCAGAATCTCATTTAAGTCAATAATGACCTGAGTAATGAACTTCATGTTCCTAATTAATCCACTGTATCATAGCCAGTTTGTGATATAAAAACTCAGCTTAGAAGAAATGCTGGTCTCCAACCACCTGGTCTCCAACTTACAGTGGTTTGACTTAACGATTTTTCAACTTTATGATGGTGTAAAAGCAACATGCATTCAGTAGAAAGTATACTTCAATTCCGAACTTTTATCTCTTCCTGGACAAGTGATATGCAACACAGTGTTTTTCTGAGATGCTGGGTGGCAGCAGCGAGCCACAGCTCCCAGCCAGCCACATAATCACGTGGGTAAACAACCAGTACTCTACCCTGCACTGTGTGGCCAGCAGTTCTGGATATTGTGTTTTATATTTTTTGCATCCCATCATGTCTACAAAACACCCATTTGCCTTTAAGATATTTTCAACTTATGTTATCAGGATATAACTCTATCATAAGTTGAGGAACATCTGTCTTTACAAATGTATCTAAAAGGTAGTTTCTTTTTTCTTAGCTCAATTACAGTTGGGCATTGTAATAAATGCAATACATGCTGTTCTTCCAGGGAAGTCTAGTCCCTTCTTGACCATAAATTCCAGTATAAGAAAGAGTACAATTATTTTCTAACATCCTATATTTGAATTTATATATCACACTTCAATAAAACCAACTCACACACTGTATGACATTTACATCACTACAGTAACTTTCTTTTAAATTTTCTTTCCTTCAAGTACTAGCAATAGAGATGTTGGAAAAATTCATTCAGTACTGCTAATTTACATTCTCTGTCCTTTAAGGACTCAATAATAAATGATTTTTTTTTTCATTTCACTAGCGGTTAGGAACAAGCTTCCTTTTTAGTGTAAGTGGTGGTGAATTAGGATGTGGTGGATTGGATTGAATAAAGAATAGGGTGTAGTAAAAGGTCATAAACAAATTTACACTGGACTAGGCACAGTGGCTCATACCTGTTATCCCAGAACTTTGGGAGGCTGAGGCGGGTCGATCACTCGAGCCCAGGAGTTGGAGACCAGCCTGGGCAATGAGGCAAAACCCTGTATCTACTTAAAATACAAAAATTAGCTGGGAGTGGTGGCCTGCTCCTATAGTCCCAGCTACTCAGAAGGCTGAGGTGGGAGGGTGACTTGAACCCAGGAGGTTAAGGCTGCAGTGAGCCAAAACTGTGCCACTGCATTCCAGGCTGGGCAAAGAAGTGAGACCCTGCCTCAAAAAAAAAAGAAAGTGTACGTTGTATTTCCACTCCTTAGTTATACTAAGCTAGGCTGCAGATGACTAGAGTGTGTGATACAGTTACTGAGTGACTTGAAATCCATTTTAAACTTGGCAATGTAAAAATTAACTTCTTTCCACTCATTTTAAGGGTAAATGACGGCCGGGCGCGGTGGCTCAAGCCTGTAATCCCAGCACTTTGGGGGGCCAAGGCGGGTGGATCACAAGGTCAAGAGATCAAGACCATCCTGGTCAACATGGTGAAACCCCGTCTCTACTAAAACTACAAAAAATTAGCTGGGCATGGTGGCACGTGCCTGTAGTCCCAGCTACTCAGGAGGCTGAGGCAGGAGAATTGCCTGAACCCAGGAGGCGGAGGTTGCGGTGAGCCGAGATCACGCCATTGCACTCCAGCCTGGGTAACAAGAGTGAAACTCCGTCTCAAAAAAAAAAAAAAAAAAAAAAAAAAAAAAAAAAAAAGGGTAAATGACAGAATAAGGAAATAGCAACTTTAAATACTTAGGGACATGTATAAGAGAAAGGAAGGGAAAGTAAAGGGAGTTAACATTTACTGGGCACCTTGTATGTTCCAGGGATTGTGACAGGTCCTTGGCATATCTCATGTAATTTAATTCTTACAATGACCTTAGGAAGCAGGTATTATTCCCATTTTACAGACAAAGATGAGTCTCCAGAGCCCACATAACGTGTCTAACACTACACAGCTGAGAGGCCGTGAACTTGGGTCCAAATCCTAATCTGCTTGATTCCAGGTACCATGATCTACACAGACACTGGGCTTCTCCACAACTCTGTCCCACGGCAATGAAAAGAGACTAGCTATGAATAAAGAGTGACAAGCTAGAGTCACACACCTTTTGTGTTTCATCCTTCTTCTCCTGCTTGAGGATGTCAGTCAAGTTGATGAGCTTTTCCATCGCCTCGACTTGCCTATTCAGGTGCTTCAGATACATCCCACATGCACGACAATAGGACTCCAAGAGCAGGCCGAACCTCTGGCTAACTGTTTTATTGTGCATCTCAGATCTAAAAGAATTGTGCAACGTTTAAAAAAAAAAAAAAATATATATATATATATATATATATATAGTCTTAAATGAGTATACAAATAATCTTTGCTAAAAAATTTAAACACTCATTTTCGAAATCCGATAAATGTTACAATCATACTAATAATAAAATGATTCAAAACTTGTAATTTAGAAGCAAAACCATCATGAGTTTCAGGTAGTTCCCGAATATGTGATTTAATAAACATCTAGTTTTTAGGTTTATTTCAACAACTTTTCATTGACTAATCTCAGCATAAGATATAAAAACATGGAAAAAGGAAATTGGGCACAAAAATAATCAGATGAAGCGGGAAGGGGTGAAGCGGGAAGGGGCAAAGCGCTCAGTGGATGCTGTTTGACTTTTCTGACACACACGTCCATGCTTCCGGTTTTCAACTTAACTTCCAGGTTCCATTTAAAAATTTTAACACTTAAAATATCATATTAGATATAAATTTGTTTCTAAATTTATGAAAAATTATACAGTTTAAGACCTGTAACTTTTCACTACCAGATATATCACATTCTACATTTTTTATTCTTAATTAGTTTTTTTTGTAAGAACCATGGGAGTTTGACATTATTGTTCTGAATTTCAAGGTAAAAATTTTTTTCCTTTTTTTTTTTTGCAATATTTTAATCCACACACACAGTGTAAACTATGGCAATATTCATCTGGACCTAGGAAATTTTACTTAAGTAGAACAAAAATCTTTGAAAATATTTCAGCTCTCATTCATGATTAAAATTTAGTTTTGAATTTATTTACTTTTTAAATTTCTAAGAGCAAAAGTTGAAGCGAAGCTCATCACTGGTACAAAATACTTCTAGTAGGAAAACTCTTCCAGTCAAACAAAAACAAAAGTATGTAAGTAATACATATTTATAAATCTATTAAGAAAGCAAATAATAAGTACCTTAAGAACTTAATGGGGAAATAATCAGACTTACTTTAAATGCCAAAAGAAAAAGTGCCCAATCCTTTGATTAGTCAATGCTTTCTTCAGTAAAAACCTCACAAGCAAGTTATCCAAATATTGTTCATATTTTAGGACCTAGGTGATTTAAAAAAACAAAAAACCAATCAGGGTCAGTTTCTGTGTGGCTGATCTAAAGAAAATTTTTTCAGAAGGAAAGTGGATATTCCTGGTAATAACTTTTTTTTAAAGAATAAAACTAGTTGGTGCAGTAGGGTTTTTGGAAGTTGCCTGGATCTGGAATAAATTATTTTAGTTAAACGCTATTTACTATTTTACATTATTTTACCTGTACTAGCTGAATTAAATACTGAGAAAGTTTGTCATCTGTTAAATATTTTTCCAAGCACCGAACAGCAAAACCTCGGACCATAGGATCTGGGTAATTACAGTCCAGAAGTTCCATAGCCTGCTCAGGTTTGATCGGAGGCCAGTCTTTTACCAAGCAGTACATCTGTGTATGAGAAAGGCAGTAAATCACAGTAAAAACGCAAAGATAGTTGTCAATGAGCTGTCCAAAACACTGGCTTAACTTCTGATTTTAAAAATAGTTTAGATAAATAATCTTCTTAGAGTCTGCAGTTCTAATTTGTTTTATCTGTGGAAATAATGTTAAGGGTATTTTTTCTACACGACATTATTATTATGTCTATTTCATTTGTTTATGCAGACTTTCTGAGAAAACAATTTAAGTGACATACTGAATTTTTACAACCTGTTATCTAGTAATCTCAAACATATATTTACCTGGGCAACTTCATCTCTAGAATTCCATTTAACAGACAGAAGCAATTTGGGTAGAATTTCAGGTATAGTTACACAATAGTGTCTGTGTGGGAGAAACGAAACAAAATAAACATTCTTGTATGCTACTCAAAAGGTTTATACGTCTACTCAATATGCAATCTTTAAGAAGTTCCAAACTTTTACCATTACCATCCTTTTTAAAATTCAAAAGACATCAGTGTTTAACACTATAGTTGGAAATATATTTACATATATACTTAGGCAACAGTTATAATAGCAAAGAACACAAAAGGAAAAGAATGATTGTAAGTACTTAAATTTAGTTAATAGTTAAGAAAAATTATGAATATATGTTGTACCATTCTTTATATAGCTCATACTTTTCACCTACTTATGCAACATGAATGCATCACAGAGTCACCACTTTTACTGTTAACGGACAAAACTTAGGTCTTAATGGACTTTCTGAAGAAATGTACCACAGCTGCTTTATTTAAATATACCAGTATCACCAATAGCAGGATAATTTCTTCATAAATGAAAATAAGGCATTATACTATTACTTTGAAGGAACATAAGAAAAAAGAAAAATGAAAGAGAACCCCTACAAATTATAATACCTAGACCAACTAAATCACATCTAAATTGATCCAAAACTACTTGGGTATTTTAAATAATCCTAAAGAAAGTCCTATCAGGAATGCAGAGTAAGAAAAAGCATTTAATGCGCCAACTACCAATGTAGCATGATTTCTACAAATATCAACTTACAGCCATTGTTTTTTTAAAAGGCAATGTTTATAATTTAAAAATAATGTAAATTCTGGTTTATTTACTCTAATAGGTATGGTAAAAATGTAGCTCAGTTCTTTACTCTGCAATAAAGAAACAGAGAATCCCCATTTTAGCACTTACCGGTGGCTCCATAGAAAATCTTTCTCCTGCTCAGTGATTTCAGAGAGAGGATCCCGTGTACAAATTGCTCTGAGCTGTTCTTTGTCATTTTCCCTTAATTCATTGTCTCTCGCTAGCCTGTTACTCTGTAAAATAAAATAATATCTCATATAGTTTTCTCTGTCATATTTTTCCCCTCTGGATTCATGAGTAATTTACAAAAAAAGGAAACAAATTTTCAATAAACTTTACATTGCTAATTAACTGTTATAAGATAATTTATTCTCATGGTAAGACTTTATTTTCAGAGACAGGAAAGAATCAATTTAAGATATAATATTTGTGGAACAAATTCAGTAATTTATTTGGTTAATATTACACCAATCACAGAATTGTAACTGCTTAAGTTAGCCAGCAAGAAGGCCAGATTAGGACACTACAGGATGGTAGTGAACATACATTTTACTCTTCCTCCGGATGAGGATCTTGTTAACTGTGAATGTTTCTGATACAAGAGAGTAAGAAACACTAAAATAAAATGTAAACAATTTCATGTTCTTTGCCTGAACATTTCCTTATGATCACTGCAAGGCTTTGAAATTTAAAAAGTAAAAATCAGTAAGGAAAAAAGCATGAAGAAACACCCCCATTAAAACACTGTATCCTGAATATTAGAAAACTAAAACTAACATTTTAAAAAAATTCCAAGCAATGTATATTCTCTTCAAATATAGATATATTAACTGTGTACTGAATAATGAGTTCATATTGATGTATTATGTGAACAAATAAAACTCCCTTAGGGTGGGTTACAAATATTTCTAATGGCTAGAAATGAAAGCAGCCATCCATGTCACTTGGTTTGTTTCTATGCTGTCAATTTATTCAACAGCATGAAGAAATATCACTGGCACATATCTGTTCAACAAATATTTATTAAGTATGTACTATGTACCTTGTTTTGTTCTTGCTGTTGGGATTACAAAAGAGTAAAAGACCCTGCGCTAACAGAACCTCTGTTATAATGGGAAGTCAAATAAGCAAGTAAGAAAAATATTGGAAAATTGATATAATGTACTCTGGATGATGTAACAGAGAATGACTGAGAACATAATATTTGTGATTCAAGTAACATGAAAGAACCATCCACACTAAGATTAGGAAAGACTATTGCTGGTGGAGAAAACACTGCAAGCCTTCCTTCTCCCCATCCCACCCCAAAGAATTACTTTGCTATGAAGGAAGAAAGCCAGTGAGCCGGATGGGGAACAGATAAGAGAAAGAAGAAATGCAAGCTGAATTCAGACCATGTAAAACTTGCAGGCCAGGGTATAAAGTTGGGATTTTATTTTTATTGAAAACTATTTAAAGGATAAATACCATGACTTGATTTGTATTTCATAAAGATGATTATGGCTGCTCTGTGGAAGGAGGGAGACCAGCTAAGAGGTTATTGCAAAGGTCAAGGAAAGAGAAAATACATACTCAGTCCTCGATTTATCAGGAAAAGAAGTCACTACTGTTTATTTATTTTTGTTTACATTTTAAATGAAAAATAATTTCAGAAGAATAAAGTGATGGGGAAAACAATTTTATTAATCATTTTAATAAGAATTCAAATATTATAAAAATGAATTTTTATCCACATTTTCCTGGTCTTGAAGATAAAAATATCATTGTCAAACTAGAAACTACACTGTCAAAATGCAATACTTTTAAAAACTCTGACAGCTCTCATAAATGTTGAAGCCATCTTTTTTCCTCTATAACTGCAAAACATTTCTACTTTTATAGTTGTAAATACCAATTAGAATAATCAACTCAAAGAGTTATTTTATTTCTACATCATTTTTTTCCTTATAGTCACATCTGTATACACAGCTACCTTCAGCATTTGTTCATTTAAAAAGTGTATCAAGTAAATTTTCAAAGTAGATTTACAAGTTCAAGGAAATAAAAAAGAAAATTTTGATGCATATCATAAAAGATGAAAAAAATATTGTAAAACATGAGGTTGTTCAGGTTCTTTTCACAAAATATTGTGTGATGAAGTTATTCTGGTGGAATGCCTAACTGAATGTGAATACAAATTTCCTTTTTTCGTGAGAAATATATTCTTTACTCATCATTATCTTGAGTTTGAGAAGACTTAAGACAACTGAGAGACAGTGTAGGTACTGTCACCTGACGTTTCATTTATATAAGAAACTCCAGCACGAGTAGAGTTTGTAGTAGTGGTTCTCAACCAGGGTGACTTTGCCCCCTTGCCCTACCAGGAACCTTTGCTAATGCCTGCAGACTTTTGATGGCCATCACTCAGGAGGACGGCACCTCTGGCCTGCAGCAGGGTAGAGGTCAGAGATGCTAAACACCCTGGATTAAACACACAGGACGGCTCCTACCACAAAGAATTATTTGGTCCAAAATATCAACAGTGCTGAGGTTGGGAAACTCTGCTCTAGAGTGCTACTATCTATCCCTTTGCCTTCATATTATGATTTATCTAATGGCTTGTGAAATATCTTCCTCTGTCAGTTTTCATCTGTCATCATTCTGGGTGAAAAGTGAAAAATTCTGAATTCTCAAGTGTCCAAGGAAAGCCTGAAAAAAAAAACAACGAAAGAAACAAAAAATTACAAAGACAGTGTTTGCAGACTTCTACACTTCTGAAAAGATGATGCAGGGCACTGCGCAATGCTGTAAGAAAACTGGGGGACGGTGTGATAGTGATGATTTATTTCAGTATTTCACCACCCTTCTAGGTTCTTCCATCCTTCTTTTAGATTTTTATTCTTTTTTAGCATAGTTGGAAATAATGAATATGGATGAAATAATTTCTAGGATGATGAAATAGTAAAATATTTAAGATACAGAAAAACTAAGATCCCGTATTGTATCTTAGATTTACAGAAGTTTCTGATAGATACAAACTATAACTGAAAAAGAGAAGTTTTATCCCACTATAAAATAGCAAATTTCCTTTTTCTTTGAAATAAAAGTTTTTTAAAGAAAGAATACAGTCATCAAATATCAAACCTTACAAAGAGAACTGCTCAAAAAAGAAACTCGTATCTTTTAAATTATATATGCAAAAAAGATAATTCGGTTTACAAAAAATGTTGGTGAATGCCTCACTGAGAATGCAGCTATAAATCAATAAACTTCTTAAGTGCAATATATCAGGCTGCCCCTTGGTGCTGCCATTACTGTTACTGGGACAGGCATATTTTAGGCTTCTTGAACCAAAATTCATTGGCTGGATTACCTGTAGCCAACAAGGCCAAAGAAAAAGTAATATATTTGGAAACTGGGGTAAAAAAAACACCAATGAACACAGACATCTTGTCCTGGCATTGACACCTTTGCCTTTGAGAAATCAGGGAGAGTTAATGGTTCTTAAAACTAGTTATATTGTGATTCCAAAGCTATGGCCAAGATTAGACAAATAGATAAATATTTAAATTCTGGCTGGGCGCGGTGGCTCACACCTGTAATCCCAGCACTTTGGGAGGCCGAGGCGGGTGGATTACGAGGTCAAGAGATCGAGACCATCCTGGTCGACATGGTGAAACCCCGCCTCTACTAAAACTACAAAAAATCAGCTGGGCATGGTGGCGCATGCCTGTAGTCCCAGCTACTCAGGAGGCTGAGGCAGGAGAATTGCCTGAACCCAGGAGGCGGAGGTTGCAGTGAGCCAAGATCGCGCCATTGCACCCCAGCCTGGGTAACAAGAGCAAAACTCTGACTCAAAAAAAAAAAAAAAAAGATAAATATTTAAATTCCATCGTATATACACCCCTTCCTGGGGAACCTGGGCTAACATGGTGAAAGCCTGTTGTTTCCTCTGCTTCCAAGCTCAACTAACAACATACTTATGCAGACGTACCCTGTGTTATTGTGCTTTGCTTGATCATACTTCATACTGCATTTCTAACAAACGGAAGGTTTGTGGTGGCATCCCTATGTAAAGCACCATTTTTCCAAATGCATGGGCTCATTTTTTGTCTCTGTGTCACATTATGGTAATTGTTACAATATTTCAAACTTTTCATCATTAAACATTATGATGATCTGTGATCGAAGATCAGTGATCTCTGATGTTACTTTGATACATCTAGGCGAACCATGAGCCAATGATGATGGTGAACTCAATTATAAATGTTGTTAGTTCTGACTTCTCCACTGGCTACCTTTGCTCATCTTCCTCCCTCCCCTCAGGACTCCCTATTCCTCGAGACACAATTATAGTGAAATTAGGCTAATTAATAACCCTACAATGGCCATTAAGTGTTCAAGTGAAAGGAAGAATGCCTTTTCTCCTGGTTCAAATCAAAAACTAGAAATGATTAAGTGTAGTGAGAAAGGCATGTCAAAAGCCATATAGGCCAAAGGCTAGGCCTCTGGTGCCAAATAGCCAAGTTGTGAACGGAAAGGAAAAGTTCTTGAAGAAAATTAAAAGTGCTACTTTGGTGAACACAATGCAACTTCGGTGAACACAGTGCTACTTCGGTGAACATGGTGCTACTTCAGTGAACGAAGTGTAAGAAAACAAAACAGCCTTATTGCTGAAATGGAGAAAGTCTTAGTGGTCTAGATAGAAGATCAAACTAGCCACAACTTTTCCTTAAGTCAAAGCCGAATCCAGAGCAAGGCCATTACTCTTTAAATTCTATGAACACTGAGAGAGATAAAGAAGCTTCAAAAGAAAAGCTTTTTCTTTTTTTTGAAAACCAGCACAAAACAAGGATGCCCTCTCTCACCACTCCTATTCAACATAGCAATGGAAGTTCTGGCCAGGGCAATCAGGCAAGAGAAAGAAATAAATGGCACTCAATTAGGAAAAGAGGAAGTCAAATTACAGATGACATGATTATATATTTAGAAGACTCCATCATCTCAGCCCAAATCTTAAGCTGATAAGCTACTTCAGCAAAGTCTCAGGATACAAAACAAATGTGCAGAAAACACTAGCATTCCTATACACCAATAAGAGCCAAATCTCTAATGAACTCACATTCACAATTGCTACAAACAGAATAAAATACCTAGGAATACAACTAACAAGGGAGGTGAAGAGACCTCTTCAAGGAGAACTACAAACCACTGCTCAAGGAAATAAGAGAGGACACAAACAGATGGAAAAACATTCCATACTCATGGTTAGGAAGAATCAATATTATGAAAATGGCCATACTGCTCAAAGTAATTTATAAATTCAATGTTATACCCGCCAAGCTAACACTGACTTTCTTCACAAAATTGGAAAAAACTACTTTAAATTTCATATGGAACCAAAAAAGAGCCCACATAGCCAAGACAACACTAAGCAAAAAGAACAAAGCTGGAGGCATCATGCTACCTGACTTCAAACCATACTACAAGTCTACAGTAATCAAAACAGCATGGTACTGGCACCAAAACAGAGATACAGACCAATGGAACAGAATAGAGGCCCCAAAAATAACACCACACATCTACAACCATCTGATCTTCAACAAACCTGACAAAACCAAGCAATGGGGAAAGGACTCCCTATTTACTAACTGGTGTCAGGAAAACTGGCTAGCCATATGCAGAAAACTGAAACTGGACCCCTTCCTTACACCTTATATAAAAATTAACTCAAGATGGATTTAAGACTTAAGACCTAAAATCATAAAATCCCTAGAAGAAAATCTAGGGAATACCATTCGAGACATAGGCATGGACAGAGATGTCATGACTAAAACACCAAAAGCAATGCAACAAAAGCCAAAATAGACAAATAGGGTCTAATTAAACTAAAGAGCTTCTGCACAGCAAAAGAAACTATCATCAGAGTTTGAATCTAGCACAGGTTGGTTTAAGAGGTGTAAAAAAGGAGCTGTGAAGCAACAAGGGCTGGTATAAAAGCTGCTGCAAGTTATCCAGAAGATGTGGCCAAGATGATGATGAAGGTGGTACACGAAGCAACAGATTCTCAGTGTAAACAAAACATTCTTATGATGGGAGGAGACGCCATCTAGGACCTGCACAGCTAGAGAAGGGGAGTTAATGCCTGGCGTCAAAGCTTCAGGCTGACACTCTTGTTCAGGGCTAATGCAGCTGGTAAATGTAATGACTCCAAATTTGAAAGAAGGGTAAAATGCTATCAAATAGCACCATGCACTGCAGAGAAATCATTCATGAAAGGAAGTGTCAATCAATGTGGCAAACTTCATTGTTGTTTTATTTTAAGAAATTGCTGTAGCCTCTCTAACCTTCAGCAACCACCAGCTTGATGAGTCAGCAGCCATCAACACTGAGGCAAGACCCTCCACCAGCAAAAAAATTACAACTTGCTGAAGGCTTGGATGATCATTAGCATTCTTAGCAATATTTTAAAAGTGTGTACATTGTTGTGTTAGACATAAGGCTATCACACACTTTACAGATGACAGTATAATGTGAACGCAATTATTATATGCACTGGAAAACCAAAACATTTGTGACTCTTGATTGTGATTTTTACTTTAGTACAGTGGTCTAGAATCAAGCTCACAATACCTCAGACATCTGCCTGTACTTGAGTCTCAGCTTCAAGGTCACTATCTCAGAGAGGTCTTTCCCAAGCCCAATATACATATATTTACCTTTCCACACAAATCCTCAGTTAGTTATTCTTAGCTCACTATTGTTTTGTCCTTCCTGGCACTTACCATGATTTATACAGCTGACCCTTGGACAATACTGGGGACGGGGCACTGGTCTCCTGTACAACTGAAAATCCATGTATACATTTTGGCTCCCCAAAAACTTAACTACAAATGCCTACTGTTGACTGGAAGTCTTAACAGAAATATAAACAGTTAATTAACACTTACTTTGTATATGTACTATACACTATATTCTTAAAATAGAGTAAGACAGAGAAAAGAAAATCTTAAGAAAATCATAAGGAAGAGAAAATTCATTTATAGTACTGTACTGATACAGGACATTTATGTTGTCTTTTGACCAAGCATGATGGCTCCACACCTGTAATCCTAGTACTTTGGGAGGGTGGGAAGGGAAGATCACTTGAGCTCAGGAGTTTGAGACCAGTCCAGGCAACATAGTGAGATCCCATCTCTTATAAAAAAAAAAAAACAAGTTTATGTTGTCTGTTTACAGGATGAATTGTCTGTCTGAAATAAGGGAAACTGCAGGTGCAGACCTCAATATATGGTGCGTATCAAGCAATTCAACTTTTTCTGGTAGCATCATGACTTTTCTCTGCTTCTTGAGAGCACCTCCAGCATCATTAGAGGCATTCCGTCCAGGCCTCATAGTGTTATTCAGGGTTTACGGCATTGCACTAAACATGATGAAAAATATGCAAGAACTGTGAGAGATCACTTTTTACTGCAATACACAATTTACTGAAGTGATGAAGCGCTCATGTAGAGTTGATTAACATTACATAGTGTTTTTTTATTGTTGTTGTTTTGTTTTTGAGATAGAGTCTTGCTCTGTCGACCAGGCTGGAGTGCAATGGCATGATCTCGGCTCACTACAACCTCCGCCTCCCAGGTTCAAGCAATTCTCCTGCCTTAGCCTCCCAAGTAGCTGGGATTACGGGTGCATGCCACCACGCCCGGCTAATTTTTGTATTTTTAGTAGAGACGCGGTTTCACTATGTTGGCCAGGCTGGTCTCAAACTCCTGACCTCAGGTTATCCATCCACCTCGGCCTCTGAAAGTGCTGGGATTACAGGTGTGAGATACCACACCCAGCCTATATAGCATTTTAAGTGGATATCTGCAACATTCCAGCTTACCACAACAGCAAAGGAGGTGGCTATGAAATTATTACAGTAGTATAGCATGTACTACAGTTAATTTTATGCAGATATAATTTAATACTGCATCTTTATGTTTGTATTTCTCTTGACTACGACTGGTGGCACGTATGGTCTGTGTGTGTGTATGTTTTGATAAATTTTAACTTCTTATAATAGATTTGTGTATATTTTATGGTCGTAAATGATAAAATTGACTTGTATCTACATATATTTTATGGATTAATGACATAGCTAACTTTGATTTTTTTGATACTTCTAGGTTATGCAGTTTGTCTCTGAGTTTTTTCAAATTGTCACAAATCTCTAAAAAAAATTTCCAATATACTTATTGAAGAAAATCCACATATAAGTAGACCAGTTTAGTTCAGACCCATGTTGTTCAGGGGTCAACTGCAATCTTGTACTTCTGCTTTATCTGCTTCATGTCCACTTTCACCATTAGAGTACATACTCAATGAAGGTCGGTTTAGTTCACGATTTTATTACCTAGTGCCTTAGCCCACATTCAATAAACATTTGTTGAATGAAGGTAGGCTAGGGCTTTAAGCAGAGCTGCGGTAAAATTATCAGCATATAGAGAACTTAATTCTATTGCAATGCTGGTCCTAGAGCTCACAGTATCTATGCCAGTAAAATACATGGATCCTTTTCCATACAGAAAGTATGCACCTAAATCTACAGATTATGACTTATACTTAATAAACTCAGTGATCTGCCTTACCAGTCCTGCGTGGGAATAGCTAAATCCTGCTTCTCGGGATATAGACCAATTGGCATGCTCTTCAATCACTGACATGTCTGGAAACTTTACCACACTGCTGAACCAGTCAAACTCCAACTCTAAGCATGGAGTTTCCTAAGAGATGGAAGAAAAGCTATTATATATACACAGGAGAGAAGGCTTGACTGCCATAAAAATATCTAATTTATGACAATAAAAACCTTACTTTATTTGGATTTGATCCAGTAACACCAATAGGGTTCAGCAAATCTTCTAATCCATGAGGTACTGGCCAAAGATTCAAAGCCATTTTTCCAGACACTAGAGTGTCTGTGTAATCAAACAAGTTTATATTTCCCCATGCCAAAGGACAGTGTTCCTTAAAAAACAAAAGAAAAATATTCACTAGTCTAAATTACAAAACACATTTCAAAACACTTTTCTTCCCCAGAAAGGAAAATTCAACAATCATCTCTATAATAATGGAATATACCTAAAAAACAAAAAACAAACAAACAAAAAAACCACACTGATTTTTCAAAGTTTAAGCCCATTCTTTCCTTTATCCCATTTGAAATTACATGTATTTTCTTTAATTACAAATAGAAAACATGAACCAAAGCAAGCATGACAGATATTTATATACAATCCTGGTTATACAGTCACTTTGCATTTTGAAAAGTGGTATCAATATGAACTCAAAACATTCATCATAAATAAATTCCTGAAGCTCTCCCACAGTACTCTTCTATGATGCATTTATTAAACATTTAAAAATAGGTTTTATTAATATTTTCTCAAATATAAAATAATATTCATTTTGTGAAAAATTCAATCAGTGGTATAATCAGCAGGAGTTTTTAAAGGTAAACGTAATTGTTCCTTCGAAACACTTTACCTCTTTAGCACCCTTTCGGCCTTTAACGGAACAAATGGAAAGGCAAAGTCGAGCAGCACGAGGAAGATCAGGAATGTATATATCATAATTCAGCCATTCACTCCACCTATGTAAAATTTTAAAGAAAAATAATATATCAAAAAAGTCTTCATCTAAAGTACATAAATGACTCCTTCAAATCACCAAGAAAAAGATAAGCCAAATGAAAAACAGGCAAGAGATTGACTGAAGTAGGCATTTGATAAGATCATATTCAAATAGTTAATAAACATGAAAAGAGAGTCAGTCACACAGAAAATGCAAATTAAAATCTCATGGAGATATCACTAGACATAAGAATGGCTAACACTATAAAGACTAATGATGCCAAGGGGTGGTAAGCTTATGCAGTAACGGGAAATCGCATACACTAAGACTACGGGGGTATAATTTGTTACAACCAATTTAGAAAGCATAATCTACTAAAAGTAAGCATATGTATACCCTGTGACCCAGCTCCAATTCTAGGAATAAAACCACAGAAATGTATGCATTTGTTAAAAACAGAAGACATGGGTACTTACTTTGTGACTAAACTATATATACAATTATGATTTGTATACTTTTATGTTTCTGTGGTACATACTTCACTAAAAAAATTTATATATATTATAAATATACATAATATAAACATATTGCAAATAATATATATATTTATATATATTTATATAATTTTGCTCATAAAAAGTCAAATGGAAAAGGAAAACTAAACAAGGTAAAATGAGATTTTTCTATTATATTTACTTTTATACATAATATAATCTTATCCAAAAGGACCCACTAATCTAAATAAATCAGTATGCAAATAAAATGATGGATACATAAAGTATTTGAATTTAAGAATACTTTATAAAAGATAATAAAACTTCACATTCATAAGTGAAGAATAAAACATTGGTACAAAAGTGAACAAGATAAAAAATTATTCAAATTTTAATGATAAATTCCCTCAATTTACTGGGTGCTACATGTAAAATTATGTCTGTTTTTGGTGTACATAATTGTAAAGAACCACATAAAAGAAAGTTTTGTATTTAAAAAAAACATTATAACAATGGATAAAGAGTATGGGCTCAAAAATCAGACTAGAGTAGAAAAACTGATTTCCCCTTTTTCACTAAGTGTGTGACCCTTGCTTTGTCTTTTACCTCCTGTATGAAATGAGACTAATGATGGTACCTACTCTCACAAGGTTGATAACTGTCTCCTAAGATTAAATGAGATAACACAAGCAAAGGAATTAGAATCAGAATAGCAATTGGCCCATGATAAAAGCTCATATGTTAGACAGTAATTTTAAAAGCTTTTCAAATGTCTTCTTTATCACTCTGGTCTAATGTTGATTATAAATAAAATAACTCTTAATCAACAATGAAACTGTATAAAAATTCTATTTTTAATTAGCCAAACTGAGTAATAAACCTCATCAGTAAAATAGGTTCCACTTATTCTAGTATTGCTCAAGTATGGACAAAGATTTTTAAAATATGGTCTATTTATAGAAAGAAGACACATTCAAAATGGGGAAATTTGGCAAGAATTCTAAAGGTAAAAGAAACAACAAATGTTATTTTCATGTTAGAGAGAGGGTCTTGCTATGTGCCCAGGCTGACATGCAGTGGCTATTCACAGGCATGACTGCAGTGCACTACAGCTTTGAACTCCTGAGCTCTGGCCATCCTCTTGCCTCAGCTGTCCTTAGCTTCCTGAGTAGCTGGGACTTCAGGCGCATACTACTATGCCCAGCAATAAATGTAACTGTAGAAATATATAAAGAAAAATGTGGGATTTAGTAAGTCCACCATGATTAAAGAAAAATTAGGCTGGGCACAGTGGCTCACAGCTGTAATCCCAGCACTTTGGGAGGCTGAGGCCGGCGGACCACCTGAGGTCAGGAGTTCAAAACCAGCTTGGTCAACATGGCGACACCCCGTCTCTACTAACTAAGAATATAAAAATTAGCCAGGCGTGGTGGGGGGTGCCTATAATCCCAGCTATGCAGGAGGCTGAGGTGGAGGTTGCAGTGAGCTGAGCTCATGCCGTGCATTCCAGCTGGGTGACAGAGCAAGACTCCGTCTCAAGAAAACAAAAAACAAACAACAAAAAAAGAAAAATTAAAGATACATCTACTTAAATGTACCCAACTTTTTATTACTCCTAAATCTTTAGAACTGCTCATAAATTAATAAGAAGTGTTCTATATACTTTCTAAGAGAGCCATGTCCTATGAATCTACTTGTTCAGCCCTATGCTAACAAAATAAAGCACGCTTCTCTTTTCTTCTAAAGTCCATCCATCGTACAACACACACACAGACATGCATGTACACACACTCACTCAATTGAGTTCTTTATTTCTAGAAAATGGTTGTGTGTGTATAGTCCAAACTGATTCCAATTTTGGGAGATACTGGTAACATTTACAAAGAAATCATAAAGCATCTAAGTTATCTAGCATAAAGGGAGCACAGATTTGGAACAAATAATATCAGTAAGAATTTTAAAAAATCTTTTCTATCTTTGTAATAACTTCATATTCATTTATCTCTGATTTTTTTTTGTTTTGGTAAGCACGGAAAAGTTTTAAAAATTTACTTAAATTTTTATACTACTACCATAAATACTTCACCTTTTAGACTACAGAATGCTTACAAAAAGATAAATGTAGTCCTTTCTAAATAGCTGTTTTACTACAATTTCAACATTTTAATCATATTATTAAATGAATTTTCATCTTTTACTGTTTTTTTGAGTAAGGGTCTCACTCTGCCCCCAGACTGGAGTGCAGTAGCATGATCACGGCAGTCTCAACCTCCCTGGGTTCAGGTGATCCTCCCACCTCACCCTCCTGAGTAGCTGGAACTATAGGTACGTACCACCAAGCTGGGCTGATTTTTTGTATTTTTGGTAGAGACTGTATTTTGCTATAAAGCCCAGGGTGGTCTCGAACCCCTGGGCTCAAATGATCCATCTGCCTCTGTCTCCCAAAGTGTTGGGATTATAGGCGTGAGTCCTATGCCCGGCCTTTTACTTTTATAAAGATAGTTTAACTTTTGGTACTTCAAACAGCTAGGATAATTCTATCCACTATTATTTTGCGGTCTTTGCTTGGGGCATGTTGAACTCCTCGGATTAATGAGTTTATAGTTTTTACCAAATTTGGAAAAATTCTGGCCATTATTTCCTCAAATGTTGTTTTTTTTTCCTTCCTACAAGCACCCTACTAATCAGTGTGAGGCATACAGTATGAGTGAGTATAAACTCTTGTTTTAGCAAGAATTTTAAAAGATCCTGAAGTTGTTTATTACAAGCTCATTTCTGACCTGGATGATACACTTTCTGACCTACAATGGTTTAGGTAGGCTGAGGAACTTTCTTCTGTGGGGCCGACAAGGCTATCATCTCTGAACTTTACCTAGGCTCTGTGAGGGTGGCCATCTTTAGCAACAAGACCAGAACTACATCTTAATCTGGAAGTCAGTCTAAATTCATTATGAGATTTATGTCTGAAGGAGTCACTAGTTAGCTCTACTGCTATTTTATTATAAAGTCCATTAACAATTTGAGTTCTCTTGCAACATTACTGCTACTACTTTCAGGGGTACTCATTCCCAAATGATAGGGAGAAGCAAAGAAATGACAGGATAGTAAACTACTGGATTATAATACTTTTTATTTCTTTATCACATCCAGGCAGTAATAATTTAAAATGTTCCCGATAACTCCCTCTCCCCCTAAGAAATTAATTTGCTCCCAAAGATCCTTTATTTGAATGCCATAAATATCTGTTCTCGGTAGTGATTTGAGACTGCCTCAGAGTAGTGTGGTTATAGAGTTGCTGGCCATAAATGATGATGGAGATAGGAAAAGAATAAAATGCTAGCTTTTAAATCTAATGTGGGGTATCATTAGCATAAAATTGTAACCATACTTTGTTCTCTCTTTGATACAATGAAAAGAGACAATCAGAAACTATTCTGATAAAACTTTAGACAGTATCAATAAAATAATCCTGTGACTGATAATCACTTGACAGAAAGTCTTGCTGGTTTATATTCACATTTCTGGTAATTTATTAATATATAGCTTGTATAAAACTAATGATGTAAAATATACTTTTTTTTTTTTTTAAGAGATCAGGTCTCACTTTGTCACTCAGGTGGAATGCAGTGGCACAACCACAGCTGACTGCAGCCTCGAACTGCCAGGTTCAAGCAATTCTCCTGCCACAGCCTCCCTAATGGCTGGGACTACAGGCACGCATGTGTCACTGTGCCTAGCTAATTTTTAAGAAAAACTTTTTGTAGAGATGGGGTCTTGCTTTGTTGCCCAGGCTAGGTCTTAAAAAATATACAATTTTTTATTGATCACACTGCTAAACACTAATATAACCTTTGGAAATATAGATCTCTGTACTTCCTTACCTGGGATTGGAACAAGGTACTCTCTGAGTGTTCACATTGTCACATAAGGGTTCTCCTCCATGGTAGATACCTGTTCGAACATAGATCTAAAAGAAAAAAGTATGTATATACAAACGTATACCCTCATACATAAACATACACACACACTAGATAGAACCAAATATGAAACCATGGAATTTTTGTTCAGATATAGCTTGTTCTCCTTTTCTTCACATATATAATAAGTTAATAGTGATGTAGAGCCTTCACCAAAATTAGTTGCTGCCTTCATCCACTAATAATGGAAACATAAATATAGGCCCACTATCCCTTTAAGGCAGGTATGTAATTCAGAGTTTTCCCATATTTTAGAAAGCTAAATTGGTACACATACTAAATTTTACTTAAAACCCTTAGCTAGTGAAGCAGTATCTCAAAAAGGCATTAATATTTCTGTAGTAAGACACATGAATATTTATACTAAGTGGGGTTAATAAAGATTATAAAAAGTCTCACTTAAGGTTGGCTCAGGTCTTTCTGCCAAATGAACTCTGTAAAACTTTTTATTTTAAGAGCTAGAATTATGAATATTAGAATTATTGACAAAGGACTATGAGCTGTATAATAGCTAAGGAAGATGGAAGCTCAAGTAAAATTCATGATATATTTTTACATTTGGAGATTTGAGTGTTCCCTAACCATCTGAAAACATACTGTAGGCCAACAGATTAGTGTATAGTTCAAGAAAAAAGTTATATAATTTATATAAAATAATAAGCATCAGCATTTGACTTTACCTTATCAATGTCTCGAATATTTACATTCACATAGGTTGCACAAAGAATTTTTATTCTGAGTGCACTATTTATAACCCAAAGGGATTTTGTAGATGTCTCTCCATTCATATATGGTGTAGCTGTGGAAATGCGTCTGGAATAAGATGGCATTGTAAAACAGTCCATTGGCAGTTGAGAATAAAGGCTTTCTTTAGCCATCAACATCAAATTGGGCATCCTCCCAAGCATTATACAGCTTCTTATATACTGTAAGAGATTAAGGGGGGGGCATTTCCTGTAAGATTTTTCATTTTAGAAGTAACATGTATTAGGAGAATTTACATATTAATCTGCAAAGGTGATAAAAAATTAAACATTATGGACCACATTTATTAGTAGTTGCTACAACATTTAAAATACTAACATTTAGGATTTAGGCTGAAGCACGAGATCAACCAAAAACTTCTGAATATAAACTGCATGAAAGAAAAAATCAAGGTCAACTTTTCACAGTATAGTTCTACCCTTAACTAAAACAAACAAACAAAAGGATCACAGGATACTCATTACAAAAACACTGTATTTGGTAACAGAAAAGCGGCCTCACGAAGGACGCCTCTGTCATTCAATCTACTAACTCGTACTGATGTCCCGTCCAAAGGCTGCTGCTATTCACTTGCTTTTTTGTCCAACATTTCTTGAGAAACTTTAGTTTTGTCAAAATTAAAACAAAAAACCACAAATAGAGGAGACCAATAACATTATGGATATATATTTACAAAAAATATTAAAATACACTGGTCTGAATTTTGAAATAGAAGTTAGGATAGAGTTTTTTTTATTTTTTATTTTTAGACAGAGTCTTGCTCTGTTTCAGGCTGGAGTACAGTGGTGTGATCTCGGCTCACTGCAACCTCTACCTCCTGGTTCAAGTGATTCTCCTGCCTTAGCCTCCCGAGTAGCTAGACTACAGCATGTACTGCCACGCCCGGCTAAGTTTTGTATTTTTAGAAGAGAAGGGGTTTCACCGTGTTGGCCAAGCTGGTTTTGAACTCCTGGCCTCGGCATCCCAAAGTGCTGGGATTACAGGCCTGAGCCATCATGCTTGGCCGAGATTTTTAATATAAATGTTACTACATACATATTATTTTCTTACCCATAAGCCCCACTAGACAATAAGCAACATGAAGGCCAGGACCAGGTTTTATTTGGCATTGTAAATTAGTACTCGACATATGCTTGGCATAAACGTAGTTGCTTCTTATAGGTATTTAATAAACAGAAAAAGAGAGCAGGCAAGTACCAATAGCATATCTTAACAGTAGGTCACGGGTTTTTTGAAATATCTATTTTAATTCCATTCCAGGGTCGTTGGTTGGCGGGGATAAAAGTCATGAAATAGGCTGGGCGCAATGGCTCATGCCTGTAATACCAGCACTGTGGGAGGCTGAGGTGGGAGGATCATTTGAGTCCAGAATTTGAGACCAGCCTGGGCAATACAGTGAGACTTTGTCTCAAAACAAAAAAAAAAAAAAAAATTAGCTGGGCATAGTGAAACATGCATGTGGTCCCAGCCACGTAGGAGGCTGAGGTGGGATGACTGCTTGAGCCTAGGAGGTTGATGCCACAGTGAGCCATGATCAGGCCACTGCATTCCAGCCTGAGAGACAGAGCAAGACCCTGTCTCAAAAGACAAACACCACCACCAAGAAACCCCATGAAATACCTACAATTGGGAGCTAGAGTATCTGCCAACATTTTCAGCCTCTCAATGAATTAATTACAGAATTAAAAGAATAAACTTACAAATGCTATTTACTAATATTACTTATCAAAAAGCATACCCTAAAAATACAATACTCATCCTCAATGTGATTATTTTTTAAATTAAAAATTAGTATTTTGAAACTCGTTACTCACCTTATACTGACTCAGAGGATATTTTTCTAGGAAGTATTCATCACATCCACACACTTTTAAAATATACTTGCCCTGATATTCTAAAACACAGAGTTTTAGTTGTTCAGAGGATAGCAACATACTTCGAGTTTTTTTCCTGATTGCTTCAGCAATTACTTGTTCTGGCACACAGTCATGGTTGATTTTCAGAGTATATTTCTGCTTGTCATTATTTGGAGAAACTATTACCCAAATCACCACTATTATTTGCCCTATAACAGGAAAATATTATTAGATGCAATCACCATATCTACTTCATTTTTCAAAGAGAGAAATTTCAACATGTGCACTATCATCACCCTACCCATATCAGAAATGCTTTCTAATCAGCCTAATTAAATCTAGGTAAATATCAGATAGAAACAGAAAATGTTTGTATCTGAGCAGGCTCCCAGACCATTCCCAAATCTCACAAGACTGTGGTAAGTGGGTCGTAAGTATCTGAGACCCAGCTAATTTCCATTCTAAACTGCATGACATACTTCACGGGTACCAGCCCTATGAACAGTGATTCATGACAGTATCAAAGATTCAACAGTGCCTAGGGTGAAAGAGTTATTGTAACTATGGGAAGTAAAGAAAGAACCAATGGAGGCTTAAAGATGTTGAATTAGAATGACAGAAAATGTGAGGGAGAAAAGGTAGGAAAATGAAGAAGGGAGAGGATATGGATTATCTACTTTTCTCCTTTTAAGATAATTAAGCCAGAAGGCCAAAAAAAAAAAAAAAAAGGAAAAGAGAAAGATGGAGAAAATAGGAAGACTGAAACTATTTAGAGAGGCTTGGGTGTTCACAGTACATATCTTTCAGCTTATCTATATGTTGAACATTTTTCACAAAAAATATTGGGGAAAATGAAAAGAGCATTTCACTTAGAAAAGTATGCTATAATAGCAAAGAATTTTGAAAGATCTTATGTTGCCTTAAACTACTTTGAAAAATATGGATAAAATTGCAATAAGATATCTTATTCTACTAACAGAATTTTAAATTTAATAGTGTGTGTGAGTTAACTCAAATTGATACTTTTCACTTTGTTATCTTGAAAATACATTTATCTGATACAATTACATGTATTTGGAATACAATATCATTTACATAGTTTCTTGTTCACTTAATTCTAGAAACTGATATATTAAATGTCAAAAATCTACCTACATATTATCACTCATGATCAGAATTAATTACTGCATTTAATAGTTAAGAAAATTACTTATTTTTTTCTGGTATATTTATGACATATAATAAGAATGTATAAAGTTTTTCAAAAGTTTGATAAAATGTTTCTATTTATACTTGTTTTTATTTATGAAAAGATAATCAGCTCTAATTCTAATCCTAAAAAACAGTAAATTTGAAACTTATAGTGCTTCTGTTTTACAGACAATTTACCAAGAAATCAGTACCATATTCTCACAAAAATTCAATAAATAAATATTGATGGTACACAATTTGTATTTAGCATTCAACTATATCTTGTCAGTATAAGCAGTCCCTGCCTTCAAGAAGCTTACTATCTAGCTGGAAAAAAAAAAAGACTATACAAAAATATCGGTACAGGGAGAAGACTGCACGATAGTGATGATTAGAGTAGATTGGTCATTTTCTTACCTTTATCTAATTTATTATATATGTGCTTTGGCAATTCTGGTGAAGATTCTACATTTGGAGGATAGACATACATTGCTCTACTATGAGGTGAATTGAGATCCCTAAGATCCACCGCTTCTTTACAAACATTCAGAATATTTCTTCGGAAGTCCTGTACTTCTGGATCTTTAACCATATCAAATTCACACACTGGCATGCCGATAGCAAACCCTTTAATAAAATTACATAAAGAATATAACATTCTATTACATACACCATATGAACACGTTTCTCACAAATAGGGAACTCTGTAGATTTGGAAGATCACAATAGAGTAAAAAAAGTTCCTCTAGCTGAAAAAATTTTTTGATGAATGCATATATATTAAGAGTTGACAAAGTACCAAATATTTTTAATACAAAAGATAATATATTCATCAATTTAGAGCAAAGGCAGCAAACATTATTCCCATCATTTAAAAAATAACAATAAAATTGAGATATAACCAATCTAAGTCACTCCACAAATGATCTTTCTTAAATAAGACCTTATGGAATAATAACAAGGTGTTAAAAGTAGTTCCACAGTTTGATAGTAAAACATACTTTAGATTTAGAATGATTTTTATTTAGAAAGCTATTTAAGATTACAAAAGTATTGGTTTAGACAGAAATATTTTAGTAAGAGACAATGGTTAAGCATCATAGTTATTTGCATTTTAGAATAGGATATTGTATCATACCAATTTCTCGATTGAGGATCTTTTCTTCACGGTTGCCTACAGGTTCAATTACTTTTAAAAAGGGTTGAAAAAGCCGAAGGTCACAAAGTCGTCTTGTTTCATCAAAAAATTCTTCCCTTTCTGCTTCTTGGGTAACACTTACGAAAATGTAAGAAGATTCATCTTGAAGAAGTTGATGGAGGGGGTATTTTCTTGCTTCTTTAAAGAGTTCATGCTTTATAGTTACTAGTGTAGCCTCACGGAGGCATTCTAAAGTCACTATCATTCCATTTGGTAGTAAACATTCTACGAGGATTCTTGGGGGCATCAAGTGGATACCCCACAGTTCGCCTGATGATGGTCGTGGAGGCATTGTTCTGATTCTTTGCAAATTTTACATATAAAACTATTTTAAGGAATTAGATGGATGGTTGTCCCAAAGCAGAAACCTAAACCAAAGAAGGAAAACATATGTTAAAGGAGACACAACTACAGAATAATACATTGCTAACATTGCTAAAATGTAAAAAGTCATTTTCTATAGTGTGACTCGATTAAGCTAAGTAGTAATAATTCATCTTAAATATTTTAATCGAGGCTGTTGCTCTAAATTAGGCTATAAAGAATTTATTTCAGCAGAGAGTAGAAAACCCACTTGTATTTAATTAAATAAAGTCATTTAAGAAAACATTATATTTGAGTGGATTTCCTAAGTCAGGTTTCATCAAGGCAGAGATGAGGCTATGGAAAGAATGAAAAGCAAGTTGCAATTCAACCCGAAATTCCCGTTGCATGTCACCTTTATCATTCTCTTCTATCTTATGGAACACAGAACTTGGGCCAGAAAGAATCCTTTAGACATGGGTCCACTGCTCCTATGTTAAGTAAAACCATGTCTACAGAAGTCAAATCCTTTTCCTTTTTCACTGCCTGTCCTCGACCTGTAATAATGAGAAATTATATGGCTTAGTCTTTTTTTCTTTCTTAAATCAATCTTTGTAATTTCCCTTTTGCTTTTTGTGTTGATTCTTATCTAGGTGGCATCTTAGACATTCTGTTCTTAAAGTGTGATTTAGGTACATATTCACAATATTATAAAGTGTTATCAATGATTTTTCCTTGAAGTATGATGATGAATTTGTAATGATCTATCTACTTTCTCAAATAACCTAGTCCTAATACTTCTGATGGAAATAAATCTACCTATAAATAAGATTCATGACTCTCTGTTAGTGCAATGCTCCAACCAGTTTGTAATATTTTAAAAACTATTACATGTTCTTATGAGTTGAAAGCCCTTAATTTTTTTAGACATCAACGATCTTGGGGGTTCTTTTAGAAGATACTATCAAAATCCATAAAACACAAGTTTACTTATTGCTGTTTATAACTGTATTTTCTTTTATTCAGTGAGCAAATCTGTAAGAGTATATCAAAAGGCAAAATGAGAGATACCAAATAAGAAAAAAATGAAAGTTAAACTAGAGAAATGAATCAAGAAGGTCCAGCTAACCTACCACACTTGCGTAGTCTATCAGGTATTGCAGGTAACAGCTATAAACGACACAGTTTGCTTATTCACTGAAAGCGCATTGGTGCTGTCCCCAGGACCCTGTTAGGTGTGGGAATCTAATGATGAATAAGATAGACATGGCCCTTGCCTTCACAAGACAAAGCAAATAATATGAAGATTATGTGTACGCTGTGTGTGGGGTAATTAAATCCACAGTTACAAAACAGAATACATGCCACCATGGACTACAAAAGCACCTAGTGTGGGGTCATCGAGGTTGGGGTGGGAAGGTTTCCCATAGTAGGTAACACACACTGAATCCTTTACAGATGAGCAACAGTTGAACAAACACAAGCAGAGGGGAGGAAACCAGCCGTCCCTGACTCCTCTCTCTGTCTCTCACACACCAATCAACATCTGACCCATCAACAAGCTTGGTTAATTCTCTTTCCATTCTGTCGACATTCCATCTCTACCATGCTTAGTACCCTGGATGAGGCCATCACTATGTCTTGTCCAGACCACTACAAAGGCCTGAATGGTCTCCCTGAATCTATGCCTGCCCCCTTTAATCCACCTCCACCTCATACCCCGTGTGACTTAAAGAGAGCAATAGGGCCTAACTGATTAGATGTTTATGTTGTACCACTTCTTGGTTACAAACAAATAATTATGTAGGCTTCAGAGTTGCAACAGATGAAGGATGTGAAGAGTAGGAATAGCAGAAATTTTCAGCCTTTTCCAACCCATGGATATACAGAAATTAACTGGAAACAGTGAAGAATATAAGAAAATTATGTTTGATAGTTGAAACTATTTTTCTTCAAACTTAGAGATCCACTGAAATGATAGAATTTAAAATAATTGTCTTATTTCCTATATGTAAAAAAAATTCATTGGCTAGTAAAAAGAACAGATGGATCAATCTGTGTGAACGATTATAGAAGTGACTTAAGTTTTTTAAAACATACAAAAAATTTGAAGAATGCAAGGGAAAACGCCAAATGACTACTTTTAAATGATGACATGCTGCATAAAAAAGTTCAAATGAAAACAAAACCAAAACCACAAACCACACAAAAACAGCAGCTGTGTTTATGACTTCTCTGCTGAATGGCACTGACAGGTCAGTTGTGCAGCTATGGGAGCAACCACTTTATGTAATAAATAACCCACAGGGAACCTCATTTGTTCCCTAAGTATTCCCAAGAAAGAAGCCTAGTTAGTACAGCAGACAGATCACTGGTTTTATTCCTTATTTTACATTTATGGGTAATTAACTATGAAATACTCAAGACACACCCTTTTCATTAAGAGAATAAATGTGATTATGGTAAGAAAACCCTTGTTGATCCTGGAAGGCAGGCACTGGTTGACATTCTGTAGACAGAATGACAGCTTTCTTATTTGTCAGATGGTTATTTGTCTTCTCATGCCAGGCCTTATTCTGTACAAACTATTACCCCAGGGTTCAAATAAAGAGAAGTGTAGAATGGCAAATGAAACTAACATTTGCTTTTTTAGTATGCACAATGTACTTGGGTGGGCAGTAACTCTTTTGAGGTAGATATTATCATTTTACATGAGAAAACTGTAGATCAGAAGTGAAGTCACTTGCCTCCAATAAATGGATTTTGAATCCACCAGGTCTGGATGATCTTAAAGCCCACACTATAACCATGCTGTTATTTGGGTTTCAGTTATGGCCATGCAATATTTACTGGTAGTGAATAAGAGAATGAGCTCTAATTTGAATCTACACTAGATTCAAGTTTCGGCTCCCTTAGTCAATGGTTGTATGGCCTTGGGCAGTTTAGTTCATGTCACTGAACTTCATTTTTCCTTCATTTGTTAAATTGGGATAATAATGGCATCTACTTCATTGTATTGTTGTAAAGATTGGATGAGGTGATATATGAAAAATACCTAAGCATAGAGATCAGCACACAGTAAGCACTTAATAAATGTCAAACATTAGCAATGAACTTGTAAAGTATTACCAACATGTTCTTTTCAAGCTTATTGGGAATTATACAGTGCTGGCACCAGGTAGGGTAGAAAAGGTTTTTGTTTTTTTCACTGAGAAGGCAAGTAAGGAGCGTCACAAAGTTCTATTTCAAGTGCTGATAGCTGAAGGCAGCAAGGCCCGCACACAATCCCGGAAGAGCATGGAGGGGACTCAGATGCTGGCGCGGTGCTTTCCCAGCAGCTTCCAGTTCCCCAGATTCCTACTTAAATGTTACCGCTATCTCCAGCTGAGGTGTCAGGAATCCCTTCTTATCTCTCTCCACTCGTTTTTTTGTTTTGTTAAGTACCTGCTTAACGTCAGGTTCTAGGCTAAGTATGGCACAAAAACAAAGGTAAGAAAGATGCCTTTCCTTCTGCTGTTAGGGGACTCATAGTTCACTGGGGAAACAACCTTAACAATGTGATAACTGTTGCAAGACAGAACATGAACAATGGAAAAGGCTGAGATTAGGGAAGGTTTCAGTAGAATATTACAGATTAAAAATTTCAGAGAGGGTAAGATCTGAATGTAAGACGGCCTATAGGAAGGTGTTCTAGATTGCCACAAGAGTGTCAGACCATGAAAGAATGCGGCCTGTTCCTAGCAATACAAGCTGTTTTTATTACTTGAGTCTAAAGTGCATGGGAATAGGTAGAGTATGTAACAAAGAAGGAGAGGTGAAAGGCAGGTAGGGGCCAGATGTAAAACCATGCTACAGTTTGAATTCTGAATTTTATGTTGTACACCACCAGTAAAAAGGAGATGCTGGGCTGGGGGCTGTGGCTCACACCTGTAATCCCAGCACTTTGTGAGGCTGAGGCTATAGGACTGTTTGAGCTGAGGAGTTTGAAATCAGCCTGGGCTCAAGACCTCATCTCTACAAAACAAACAAACAAATTAGCCAGGTATGGTGGCACATGCCTATCGTCCCAGGTACTCAGGAGGCTGAGGTGGGAGGGTCATTTTAGCCTGGGAGGTCAAGTCTGCAGCAAGCTGTGATGGTGCCACTGCACTCCAGCCTGGGCGACAGAGGAAGACCCTGTCTCAAACAAACAAACAAACAACAACAAAAAACAAATGTCTCTGAAGTATTTTGAGCTAAAGATGACATGATGCTTTTAAAATGATTTTTTTAATTCTCTCAGATTTCTTTAAAAATTGTTTTTCAAAGGTAGGTTATAATCAAATAAACATTAAAGTATAAAATTACATATTCTCAATTGTCTAGAGAAAAATCCCTAAAATTAAGGAATCAGAATATATGAAATTTTAAATAAAAATGCCTTTAAACTACAGAAAAACTTAAATACTGATAAAGAAGATGAAATTATTAAATTTAAAGCAATAGAGGGGATAAACCACTGTAAAATTATGAAATACTAATGTAGTTGAGAGGTTTGAGGTCACAGAATTAAAAACGTATTTACTAAAAATAAAACATTTTAAGGGTCAAGGAACCACTCTTTTGGGGTTTTGAGTTCAGAATGCCAGGACTAAAGACGCATATGCAAACTGACGAATAAATCACTGCTATCCGGAACTCAGTAAATAAACTGTTTTCACTTATCCTCATTTTCTATATATTGAAATAAGTTATTTCAATTTGAGGACTGCTCAAAATAGAGCAGTCCTATTTTCTTAGAAGAGTGTGTGTGTGCATGTGCACAATTCACAATTTACTTTTTTAATGAATTACAGTCTCATTATAAGCACCAATTACTGTGCTATATTAAAACATAAATAGCAAGCTCTTCAGGATTACTGAGAAATTTGGTGGAGACTTCGAGGTACATTTCTGACCCTAAAGCCAACAACCACAGGATGCTGAATGCTTCCCATTTCCTTGTTTTCTAGCAGTCAATGGTCACTTCTCAGTGAAGGCCAACCCGCCTGATGATAGTGGCATCTCCTCTTGTAGTCAGAGTTGACACGTGACCACCATTTTACAAACTATAAACTAAAGACCAACAGACTAATAGGTAATATGAAAGGCTCTGCTGTATGACCTTAGGAGCAAAAAATATGTGACCATAGATGCCTAGATAACCAGAGATTTCTGTTTACTTCTTTCATCTGATGTTAAAATTACTGTTAAAAGTTAGTGTGTCTAGGAAGAAAGTACTTAAAATCTTTCGGTTCTCAGAAGGTCTGAACCTGCGTTAACTTGTTGGTAAGGACAGGGTCTGCATTAGCGGTCCAGTTGGGTAGACAGTACTGCCCAGCAGAAGTAATGACCTTTTAAGGACAACACAAGTAGCAGAAATGAAGCATAAAAAATAGTATCAGATTCTCCATTGTCATCTGACTGTTATATTGGAAAACTTCTTAATTCATCAGGCAATTCACTATTTTGAACACTTGATGTGTACTCTTTCAGAACAAGAAGACAATGACATCTTGACAACCTGTTTTTTTTTTTTTTTTTTTTTTTTTTGGGATGGAGTTTTGCTCTTTTTTCCCAGGCTGGAGTGCAATGGCGCGATCTCGGCTCACTGCAACCTCTGCCTCCTGGGTTCAGGCAATTCTCCTGCCTCAGCCTCCTGAGTAGCTGGGATTACAGGCATGAGCCACCATGCCCAGCTAATTTTTTGTATTTTTAGTAGAGACGGGGTTTCACCATGTTGACCAGGATGGTCTCGATCTCTTGACCTCGTGATCCACCCGCCTCAGCCTCCCAAAGTGCTGGGATTACAGGCTTGAGCCACCGCTCCCGGCCCGACAACCTGTTTTTTTAATCTCTAAATTGAAAGCTTTTCTCTAGATTAGAACTCTATTTCTAGATTTCATTACTAAGGCAAGGGTGGTCAAATTATGACCCACTGGCCTAACCTAACTCACCACTTGCTTTTGTAAATAAAGTTTTATTGGAACACAGCTAACAAACTGTGTTTACATAATGTCAACAATACTTTGCACTGCAACAATAGAGTTGATGCTACAGAGACCATAGGGCATGCAAAGCCTAAAATATTACTATCTGGCATTTTGCAGAAAAAAAGTTTGCTGATCCCTGTAATGTATTAGAATTACCTGGTATCAACTGGGTAAGTACCAAGTCCTGCCTCTGCAAACCACAGTCCTACAGTGTCAATCTAAGTTCTTTAAGCCAGTAAAGCTAAAATCTTGAAACAGGAAAGTATCTCACAGAGATTTAAGCGGGCACTTTCATTGCTGGGAGCTTACTACCTGACAGGAAACGTTTTGTGGGCTAATTCCGAAGTTATCCCTAAACATTCCTACTCCTAAATTATCTTGTTCATTTCCTCAGTTTCGCTTTCTCTATTTCATCACATACTTGAAAGCTATCAGAATTTCCCCGGGTCTTTTTCCACCAATTCCTGCAACCATACTTCAAGCAAGATAGTTTACCATCTCATTTTTGCCCTCACTGGATATGCCCTTTTGCTAATATTCATCTGAAAATACGGCAACAAAAATCTAGTACAATATTTTGGAGTCAATATTTCCAAGGCAGAGTACAGAAAACTACTACTTGACTATGGATTACCAGTCTCTATAAATAGAGCCTAAGGCGTTTTCTGGCTTAATTACTTTAAAATACGCAAATGTATATTTTATATATTTTAATTCAGGTTTCAATTTCAAAAGCGTATTATGCTTAAAATACTTAATGTTTTTAGGCTGGGTGTCGTGGCTCACACCTGTAATCCCAGCACTTTGGGAGGCTGAGGGGAGGCAGATCACCTGAGGTCAGGAGATGGAGATCAGCTTGGCCAACATGATGAAACCCCATATCTACTAAAAATACAAAAACTAGCCGGATGTGGTGGCGGGTGCTTGTAATCCCAGCTACTTGGGAGGCTGAGGCAGGAGAATGACTTGACCCTGAGAGGCAGAGGTTGCAGTGAGCCGAGGCCACGCGATTGTACACCAGCCCAGGCAATAAGAGCGAAACTCTGTCTTAAAAAAAAATAAATTAAAAAAAATACATTTTAAAAACATCAATACTATATCTGCATTTAAAAGTCATTAAAAATAAGAAAGTTATTTGGAAGCACAACTCAGCAAGTTTAACGGATAGATCTCTTACGGGCACACCTGGCAGCCCAGTCAGTACAAACAGCCACAATGTGCTAAACTAAGCAGCTTGTATTTTCTAGTTATCTATGTTCCACGAACATAGAAGCTGCTTAAATGTTTGCTGCATGACCAACCGCTTGTAAAACAAGTTTTACCCATACTTTTAGATATCTATTGACAAGACATTTTCCACTCTCATTCTTACAGCAACAGGAAAACAATATTTAGTTTTGTGGCTAACTCAACTACAGCTCTGTATTTGCTCATGCTGGGGATCAGGAAATTATATCCCAAAGTATGACGCTTTGATATGATGCGTTCTTTGAACTAAAAAAGCAGCAACAGAACCAAGGTCTGCCATTCCCTGTACCTCTGTCTCTCTATCCACTTCTCTCCTAACTGAAGAAGGGGCTTTCTCTGAAGTTTCCCTTAGCTAGAGGGCAGTTCCTCCAGAAGGGATATAACTGTGAACCCCATCTCTTAATCTACATTAACTCCTATCACAGGAGAGGAGACTAGATGTCTGCACAGCCAACACACCAGGCCCACACAGACCTCTCACCTCTTCTTTTTTTTTTTTTTGAGATGGAGTTTCGCTCTTGTTACCCAAGCTGGAGTGCAATGGCGCGATCTCGGCTCACTGCAACCTCCGTCTCCTGGGTTCAGGCAATTCTCCTGCCTCAGCCTCCTGAGTAGCTGGGATTACAGGCACGCGCCACCATACCCAGCTAATGTTTTTTGTATTTTTAGTAGAGACGGGATTTCACCATGTTGACCAGGATGGTCTCGATCTCTTGACCTCGTGATCCACCCGCCTCGGCCTCCCAAAGTGCTGGGATTACAGGCTTGAGCCACTGTGCCCGGCCTCACTTCTGAGGGCTGCTACCTGAGAGACTTGATCCGCACAGCAAGACAATTTTGTTCCCACTGCAGGTCTTCCCTGCGTCCTCCAGGAGCCTTAAGTCCGTATTGGTTTCTGTAGCTAAAAGTGCTATTTGAGCTTCAGCCATCTGGCCCTTGCTTGAGTCTCATACTTTGTGGGACCCTATGCATATGCATCTGATACATTTATTTGCCTTTTCTGTTCATCTGTCTACTGTCATGTTTATTCTTCACACTCAAATACTGAGCCTCCAGAGGAGAGAGAGAAGGTTCTTTCACCCCCTACGACCCATTAACCAGGAAAAACTAAAAAAAAAAGAAAAAAAAAAGGTTTTGTGATTTTTAAATGACCAAATCAATCTTTAGTCTGATTTGGAACAGGAGAACAAAAACTTCCTTCTACATTTGCTACAGAAACAACATGATTCAAATCTAGGTTAATAATTCAATGGTCTTATTACTGCAGTTGAAAGTTACTTTAAATGTTTCTAGTCAGTTACTCCCTTTTTGAATGTTACCACAGCCTTTTATATGTATTTCTATAGCTGTACCTCAACACACTCATTAAAATTATCTATATCCATGTTTGACTTCCTATTACGCTATGAACGTTTTCAGGATAGGGTCTTTTATGCTGGGCGTGGGTCGGTGCGGGGGGTATCACCATAATCCTAGAGCACAGAAAAGCAGGTAGAAAAACTAAATTGTTGAAATTACAGTGAAAATATAACAAGGGCCTGAATAAAGAGAGGTAGCAATAGAAATAGTAAGAAACGGAGGCATAAAAAAGTCAAAAGCACTCAGAGGCCATTTGGATTTGATGGACAAGCAGCATAATTTTAAATGAATTTCATTATGTTGGAGATGCATGGGAAGCAAGCGTCCTTCGGTTCAATTTTCTGGACCCCAGTCAGGGCCTCTAAAATTCTCTTCCTCTAAGAGTCACTAAGCTGTTTCTGGAGTGAGTCCAAAGGGACAGCTGTAAAATACACCAGCTATGGAAGGATGCATATTATCCATTTCTTTCAGAGTGCCATCCTTCACTGACCTTTATAAGCTGGCCATGAGAAGACAGATTTAGCTCATGCCTTGAGAGAGACCAAAAGACCTTTACAACTTCAGGATGGAAAGTCAAGTTCTCATCACTAGTATCCAGAAAATTTAAATTCCTTTCGCAAGGAACTGCAATTCATTTTCACTATTAAATTCATATTTACAGTGCTATGAAAGGTGTTATAAAAATACATTTCAGAGACTGAATGCATTATATAAGACAAGGGTTTCCTAATGTGAGGCCCATGAATGGGTTTAGAGAGGACCTCTGCTAATGGATTTTTTTAAATCACAAATAATTAAGATATAGATGAGTAATATTTATAGGAGTGTAGACTTCTCATTATCAGTAAATGTGACCAAGGTAAGTTAAAAGAATCCAGTTTGAATAGCAGAATCAAATGTGGTAAAGAACCATTAATGAAGTATAGATTATTAAATAAAGCATGAATTTTAAATTTCATATTTTATAAAAAGAAAACATACTAAATACTGAAATGTGAAGTCACTAATTTTCTAAACTTGAATTTTATTTTCTTTATTTTTATTTGTTTTTTTTTTTTTGAGATGGAGGCTTGCTCTGTCGCCCAGGCTGGAGTGCAGTGGCACGATCTTGGCTCACTGCAACCTCCACTTACGGGGTTCAAGCAATTCTCCTGCCTCGGCCTCCTGAGTAGCTGGAACTACAAGTGTGTGCCACCATGCATGGCTATTTTTGTATTTTTAGTAGAGATGGGGTTTTGCCATGTTGGTCAGGCTAGTCTCAAACTCCTGACCTGAAGTGATCTGCCCACCTCAGCCCCCCAAAGTGCTGGCATTACAGGTGTGAGCCACTGCGCCCAGCATACTTTAATTTTAACAAGGGATGTGAAGGATCTCTTCAAGGAGAACTACAAACCACTGCTCAAGGAAATAAGAGAGAACACATGATGGAAAAACATTCCATGCTCATGGTTAGGAAGAATCAATATTGTGAAAATGGCCATACTGCCCAAAGTAATTTTTAGATTAAATGCTATCCCCATCTAGCTACCATTGACTTTCTTCACAGAATTGGAAAAAACCATCTTAAACTTCATATGGAGCCAAAAAAGAGCCCACATAGCCAAGACAATCCTAAGCAAAAAAAACAAAGCTGGAGACATTATGCTACCTGACTTCAAACTATACTACAAGTCTACAGTAATCAAAACAGCATGGTACTGGTACCAAAACAGATACATAGATGAATGGAACAGAACAGAGGCCTCAGAAATAACGCCACACATCTGCAACCATCTGATCTTTGACAAACCTAACAAAAACAAGCAATGGGGAAAGGATTCCCTATTTAATAAATGGTGTTGGGAAAACTGGCTAGCCATATGCAGAAAGCAGAAACTGGATCCCTTTGTTACACATTATCCAAAAATTAACTCCAAATGGATTAAAGATTTAAACATAAGACCTAACACCATAAAAACCCTAGAAGAAAACCTAGCCAATACCATTCAGGACATAGGCATAGGCAAGGACTTCATGACTAAAACACCAAAAGCAATGGCAACAAAAGCCAAAATTGACAAATGGATCTAATTAAACTTACGAGCTTCTGCACAGCAAAAGCAACTATCATTAGAGTGAACCGGCAACCAACAGACTGGGAAAAAATTTTTGCAATCTACCCATCTGACATAGGGCTAATATCTAGACTCTACAAAAGAAGACATTTATGCAGCCAACAAACATATGAAAAAAAGCTCATCACCACTGGCCATTAGAGAAATGCAAATCAAAACCACAATGAGATACCATCTCACACCAGTTAGAATGGCAATCATTAAAAAATCAGGAGTCAGGAGACAACAATGCTGGAGAGGATGTGGAGAAATAGGAATGCTTTTACACTGTTGGTGGGAGTGTCAATTAGTTCAACCATTGTTCAAGACAGTGTGGCAATTCCTCAAGGACCTACAACCAGAAATACCATCTGACCCAGCAATCCCATTACTGGGTATATAACCAAAGGATTATAAATCATTCTATTATAAAGACACATGCACATGTATGTTTATTGTAGCACTGTTCACAATAGCAGAGACTTGAACCAACCCAAATGCCCATCAATGATAGACTGGATAAAGAAGATGTAGCACATATACACCATGGAATACTATGTGGCCATAAAAAAGGATGAGTTCATGCCCTTTGCAGGGGCATGGATGAAGCTGGAAACCATCATTCTCAGCAAACTGACACAAGAACAGAAAACCAAACACCACATGTTCTCACTCATAAGTGGGTGTTGAACAATGAGAACACACAGACACAGGGAGGGGAACATCACACACCAGGGCCTGTAGGATGGTGGGGAGGGACAGTAGGGGATGGGGGTTTGGGGAGGGATAGCATTAGGAGAAATATCTAATGTAGATGATGAGGTGATGGATGCAGCAAACCACCACGGCACGTGTATACCTATGTAACAAACCTGCATGTTCTGCACATGTACCCCAAAACTTAAAAGTATATATTTTTTTAAAAAATCAAATTTTAGTGTGCAGTAGCATAATTAAAGTTTCTTAAAATATAAGCTTAAAATGTGACTAAACACTAATAAAGGTGAAGGTGAGATAGGATTATGAAGAAAGGCAAATGTACTTATACAATGTGGAAAATGATGGATATTTCATATTA